TTCGAATAAATAGAAATAATGCAAAATTTCTTTTTAATTAATATTGACTGCTAATTAATTATTATTTTTAATTAAATGTCAAAGATTTTTTTACAGTCTGTCAACAACAAATACAACAGTCACACTTTCCTTAATACTAATTTTAAATTTATATGTAAACAAAAAAAATTCTTGTCATGCATAGAAATTCTACATACGTACATATATAATTCCAAACTTTCCAACAATTAAACAATTAAATTCTGACCTACTTATTTCCTTTAGAAAAGTTTTACGACCATCAAATAAATTATACATTCAATTAAAATCATCCCGGCGGTCTTTTGCATCGCAACTTTCAGTTACTAATTAATTAAATAATTATACAGCCCCAATTATTAAGTCAAAGTCAAACTCAACAACATCCAGATAAATTACCTTATTTTAAACTTATTTCTGCAAAAGACGTCGATTTATGAGTCACATGTTTAGTTCTTTTAAAGTCAAATAAAAGTTCACAGTTATCTGTCGCGTCGACACACAAGAAAAAGTTGACTCGGAAACAGTTCAGCGTCGCGACGGTCGTCCGAATGAAAATGGAATGCGTTCCTTAAAGCTCACGAAATGCGGCCAGAACTTTGACACGCAGACGCCACCAAAGGCCCGCGGTTGTATTATCAACTCCCATTGAATGGGTCGTCGCGTCGGTGCGCGTCGCGATGCCGAATATCGCGCCTTTCTTTTTCGCACACAACGTCAAGGGCACGGTCAAAGCCGCACTAGGCTAAAAGTGTCTTCCTTGTTACAGAAATAGAAGATCCATCAATCATTAGCTATACAAGGAATTTTTTTCTTTTACTCCTTTTTAACAGTTGAAACGTTCACGCATTAAACGAATTGTTGATCCCCGGAAATGGCCTTAAGGAAAAAAGTATTGTTTGCGTAAAATCCTTTAGCTATCAGGAGATTCGCAAAAATTATGTGAAGGATGCTCGCACTTTTTTTTTTTCATAGAAGATCGCATTTCCGGTCGACATTCATGACAGAAATATTTTTAGGTGTTTAGGTACAGATGGCTGAGTATACCCGGCGCCTTTTTTAGTATCTGGACGGGTACCGGATAATGACAACGAGTACATGACCATGGCGGATAGTTTTACCAGAGAAAAAAGAAAAAACCAACACTGGCAAGTTAGATTGTATTAGAATAGATCATCTGTCCTAATTTATATTATTATTTATTGATTAGTATACTAAATTATATATTATTTCGATATAATTACTTTTATATATATGGCCGAAAATAATATTATTTTCTTTGTTATCATTCTCGAGTTTCAAATTCGGTCAGACAAAAGGTAGGCCGAAGGAACAGTAATGTTCTTCGTTCTGTGCAAGTTGCACTTCCACTTGTTCATTTTTTTTTTATAATTATTTAACTTGATAAAACTTTCCCAAACATTTTATAAAACTTTGTTTAACAATTGTTACCTTTGTAAAAACATATGTGTCATCCTCACCTTAAAATCGTCAGTCCTAAGACTGGTTGGTCACGCACCTCCACTCTTTCCTATTCTGAGCTAATCTTCGCATTTCCCTAAAACTAGAACAACCCACATCCTTAACTATTTGCGAACAGTAATCTAATCTAGGTCTACCTCTACCCCTCCTAACTCCTGTTTCTGCCTCTAATATGTCTCTGACTAGACCTTCATGCCTGAGAAGGTGTCCCACCAACCTATCTCGCCTATTTTTTATTGACTTCCATAGAGTCCTCTGTTCTCCTATTCTTTCCAATACCTCTTCATTTCTAACCTTTTCTACCCACGATATCTTCATCATCCGTCTATAACACCACATTTCGAACGCTTCTAACCTTTTCCTTTCCGCCGCTCCCACTGTCCATGTTTCACACCCGTACAACGTCGCGCTCCAAACATACACCTTTAACAACCTTTTTCGAATTTCTAAATTAACCATTTTAATGCAACACATTATCTGTAAATTTTAAGCATGCCTTTGTAATGTTTTACGTACTTATATACCTACTTACTATCTTAAATTTAGACACCTTTGAGTCACGATTCGTTTATATTGATAGTTTACTTATTCTAATCTTTGCACCTACATGATGTATGTCTACGCTGTTTGCGATTCAATTTTCGACGAAAAATTTTACTTTGTTCTCTAAATAAACGTATTTTATCGAGGGATGAAATCAAATTACAGTGTAGGTGGTACGTCAGTATTGTGTGGTTTTACATAAGCGACAGAAATACTGTACAAATATTTAATGAAATTATATCTTCTACGAGTAAGGGAAAAAATTTTTGTATATGTATTTATATTTTCTTAGCGACACGTGAAATAACAAAAAAATAACTAAAAGTGGCCGTGGATTGGAGTCACATATGTACTATAAATACATGTTTGTAAATAGATCAATTGTAAATACTGAATATTAATTACGGTAAATGACGTTTAAAATTAAAATTAACTGAATAATTCTCATGTTTTTAGCGAATAAAGATACCTACCTACTGACCATGCATAGACAGGTTCGCTTTTTAAATAGCGACAGTCGAAAACTTGGTTTGTTACTTTTAAATCAAATCTTTGTATGCTACTACTCCTGATTAAGACCTAGAAGGAACTATTACGTTTCCAATACGTAGTGCCTTGTGGTTTTAATCAAACTTTGACAAAGCCAACAAAAGAAGACATCCTCGCCATGTGTGCTTCATTGCTGCTACTTTATTTCTTTTGTTTTATTATAAGCAACTTTAAATCGATAAAGGTTTTAGTATTAGTTGTACAAGTACAAATACGAAATTGTTCAGCTACGGTTTTCAATTGAAACTGGGATTTTGTTTTCTTCTTCGAGCAATTACTTTTACAATAATGTAGCATAGGTACATAAAAATTTCATTAAGAATTTCTAGTACCTATATGGTGTTACATAGTATTCATAAATTCATATCTAGATCACTGATACACTAATTGGTATATCTAAATTATTTGTTTAAAACCGCAAACTAACACCTACTTACCTACCTACTGTGGTAGTAGGTCAGTTAGCAATCGTTTAAATAGCGAAATCAATCATTATAATCAATGATAGTCAAGAGCAGTGAATTCGAGAGTGGCGAGTCGAATACAAGATCACGAAGATGCAGGCTAAGTTAGGCTAAGATTATTATTATATTATTAAATTATTAATTAACGATGGTTAAAATGTTGACAAGTTATTCTAAATTGTACAATTCACATTGAACTAGTCATATCCCATTTGTAAACATATAAATTCGCTTATTTGATACAATGGAAACAAATATTGACCTTTCTTTGAAAGTAGACCTAATGAACCATGTTGTCAATTTAATTAAAATTATGTAATAATTTGTTTCTAAGTAGATTAGTTGGCTGTTGCACAATTTATGGGTATACCATAGATAATAAAATTCAAAACTCAAGAATAGCCATTAGGACAATATAAAACCTAAACATGACTGAATCCCTCAAGAGATCAATAATAATACAATGATGTCTATTTTAAAGTTCCTTCCTGCGTACAAAACCGACAGTTAATGAAGTTACTCTTTTATTAAGAATTCTGAATTAGGCTGGGCCGAATAATGATCCTGGAAACATTTTTTTTTGCTATTTATAGCATGACAAGCATCAAGGAATTTTCGTGAAGCATTTAAAAAAATTCTAATCATCCTACAGTAACCTCAGGGTTACATATTTCGTTTCGAAGAAATTACCGTTTTTCTTTCATCGAATAAAAAGAAGAAAGTTTTTACTTTATATTTACTTAATGATACTTTTTTTTAACAATAAGCCCATATGGCTAACGCAGAACATTATAAGTAAAACTTCATCTCACGATGCAAAAAAAAACATCATACATCAAATCTTTTGAAAGTTAAAAGCGAGTGGTAGACAAGTGATGTCTCTCTCTATGTCCAACTGTTACCACGTTTTTGATGTTATTGTAAAGTTAAGAAGGATGCTAAAGATGTACTTACTATACACATCTAACCCTAAAGGCGCTTTTGTACTAAATTTCATATTCATAAGGCATATTTCTGTTTGGTAAAAATGAAATCAAGTTAGAAATATAATTTACTATCAATTTTTATCCCTAGGTTAAATAATTAAATAAAATTCAAACAGAATATTGAAGTGAATTCATTTAGAATTAATTTTTACAACTATAGATAACATCAAATTAATGAAGAAAAGTTGTTGCTGTAGTTACGTTCTCGCCGGGAATAGAACCCGGCTCTCCTAGCTTAGTGATAGAACAATGAGGTACAAATACACTAAAATTAACTTAACAAAAATTCTTCTAAATGTTTCATTATTAATTCAAGCAGATGAAGAGCTTTCTCACTTTTTTTTTTATTTAACTCTAAATATTTAACTCAAAATTAAAAAAAAATCAAAATCAAACTTATTTAAGAATGTAGGTATTTGATCATGTACAAAATCCTCAACACCTACATCAAACTCGCAATTATATGGAATTACTCTTGTAAATTTTTATGGAAATCGGTATTTTCTTAATACTGTACCATTACAGGTACCAGTATCACGCAGAACCTAACGTAAATTGACCTAATTAATAATACACCGAATACTTTGTTCAAAAAACAATAGATTATGCGTGCAACATGCTAAGTGTTGCCACTTTTGTGGCAAATTCTTTTTTGAAATTCTTTTTTTGTGCACACTTTAGGTTCCGCTTTTGAAGTTTCGTCTAACGCGTCCTTTAGAGAGCTAAAAGTTGAGAATTTAAGGTGAATAAATAAGCTTGAAAGCTAACTCGTAAATCGTTAATTACCAAGCGGTTCCTTTGAGTCTTATTCAAGGAAAAATAAAGCAAAAATATCGTGTCGTTAACAAAGGTAATTTCTTACCGGGTAGAAACAAAATAATTTTCTTATTCTTACATGTTATAAACCTCACGAAAAGAACACGCAAGTGAGTTATGATATAAAGTAAGAAAAACTCACCTTTTGTTACTAATTCCATTTTTCTAAACTGTTGTCTAGCGGAGATTATTTCAATTGTAATCATAGGCATCTTTTCCAATCTGAAAAGAAATAAAAAGTCTTATAATTTATTTAATTTGAACAGTGCAAATTCATGAAAAGAATATGAAAATCACATTTAAATAAGTCTTCAAAAGTATCACTGACTATTATCAAAACTAAAACCATACTTATAGTTGACCTATAAGATTCAAACATGAACTAAAGCAAGGCCTTTTGGTATGAATTCAAGAAAGAATACGGAAATCATAAATTTCAAATTAGTTTGTCAAAAGTATCCTTGATCATTAATATTATAGGTATTTCTCGCTCAGCTAGAACCTTCAAATTTGAACTGAAGGAAGACTATACGGTGTAAATTCTGGAATAAATGTGAAAATCACGAATTTCCAATTGATTTGTTTGTCTGTCCATCCAATGAATCATTGATGATCAAAACTATCACTTCTCATTAAGCTAGAATCTTCTTCTTTGGACTGAAGGAAGACGTCATCGTGCAAATTGAGAAATAAATATGGAAACAACAACAAATAAGTCAGTTTGTCTGTCCATATAAAGTATCACTCATCATCAAAACTTCTCTTTGAGTTAGAACTTTCAAATTTAAACTGAAGAAAGATCTTTCAGTGAAAATTCAAGAAAAAATGTGAAAATCACAAATTGAAATTAGTCTGTGTATCACCGATCATCTACATTATAGGCACTTCTCGTTGACCTAGAACCTTCAATTTTGGACTGAAGGAAGACTAATTGTTACCTTTAATACACTGTCTGAGTACCTCTGTGACTCATTTGAACAAACAAACAGGAACATTTGATACACAATTCAAGAATTAGGTTATTTGCTTTCTCTTTTATCTATTTCATAAATTGTTTTTACCACTCGCTGCGTTTGTACGGATAAACAAATTATCTAAATTATGTTTATTCGGAGTTGATTGTCATTAATTGATGACTACCGTAACAGTTTCTCATTATGAAGTCGCTTTATTCGCAAAGCTCTTGCAGAGCCTCCGAATTTCGCATTCCACGCTGAAATACCACTGATTTATATGCCCCATGCGGACATACGATTTGGACGTTAGGATCAATCTGCATAATGGCCTACTGTGTACATACATACGTATATGTGTATAATTCCTTCAAAATAATGAATCCCAGTAGCGATAACTTCAGAACAAATAATAAAATTATCTCGAAAATCAAACAGTTTCCTCATTACGACATTTTTAAAACAACCAAATCGAAAAGGTTACCACTACGTTTGCCATTTGAAATTAATGTTTGTCATTGATGTTGTTTTTGACCTATTTGTGTTATTTTTCTTTTTAAGCTTTTAACTTGCAACTATCTCAATAAGTACCAAAAAATAAAATGGTATTTTAAATAACTAAATGTGCATACTTAGTTCATTACAGAAAAATGATTCATGAGAAGAAATAGCAACGCTGAATAGCCAAGAAACAAGAAAATAAAAAAGCCCTTAAATTATCTCGAAGCGATAAACAGTTTTAGGTTTGCGTTGGTGTTATGAAATCCAGAGCACACGACTCAATATACAGGGTTTGTCCGGAAAGTAATAGGACTGATTTCCTTCCGCCGCGACTATACTTCGGAGAGTGCGCGCACCGACTGGATTCGGTAGAGGGCATTCCTAGCTAACGAACGAGCGGCTGGTGAGTTGTCTCCGAGCACCTGGAGAGTCAGAACTCGGTAAATCTGCGACAGAGACGTTTGATATGATCAAGCAGGCTTACCCAGATGTTGCTTTAGCAAGAAGTGGCGTGTTTCGGTGGCACCAGGCCTTTTCGGAGGGCCGGGAAGAGGTCGCCGATGAAGGCCGTGCTGGAAAACCTTCGACAATGTGACTCGTGTGCCGTCGACTAAGTATTCGTTTAATTGCCCAGATATTAAATTTACCAAAATCTGTGGATCAAGACATTGTGACGGAGCATTTGAACATCTTTGAGTATGATCCCGAGACAAAAAAGCAATCTTCCGAGTGGCACACGCCGGCGTCTCCTCGCCCAAAAAAGGGAAGAATTAGCATGAAAGGCATCGTCCACCATGAATTTGTTCCCTCTGGACAAACCGTCAACGCCAAGTTTTACTTGGAAGTGTTCAAGAGACTCTAACGAAGGGTCAATTGGGTCAGTTGCACCACAACAACGCCCCGGCTCACACCGCCTTTCTTGTGGACAGCCACCTGACCAAGACCGGCATCCCAACGCTTCCGCAGCCGCCCTACAGTCCAGATGTGGCCCGCCCGGCCTTTTTTTTGTTTGCTCGCCTGAAAAGGCCGATGAAAGGCAAGCATTTTGAGACGAAAGAGGGGATCCAAGCAGCATGCACCGCGGCTCATAAGGCTATTCCGGACAATGCCTTCCATGACGCCTTCAATGCTTAGAAATCGTGCTGCATCGACGCAGAAGGAGCCTATTTTGAAAGTTTTTAAAGAATTGTAACAATTGGTTCAATAATTTTTTTTAAATCGACTCAGTCCTATTACTTTCAGCACAAACCCTGTATAATACTTCATTTGTTTGACGTGTTTAGATTATGGAACTAATTTGTTTTTAATTTTCGTTAATTTATGCAGTCATAGATGATAAAGAAGGAACATAATTCCTTAAAAATAATTTCCACCGTATTTAAGAAAACCTTTGAGAAGAAAATTATAAACAAAATTTAAAAACCGTTTAATTTCTCAACGGTTTATACATTCCTTTACTTAATTTTAAATAAATGACTAAGTTTTACTCGCGCCTTAGCTCGAGTTGATGTTCTAAATATGTGGTATAAAACTAATTTTCCGATCCTCCAGGAACAGTATTTCTTTTTATATAAGAAGTACCCCGTATGTCCTTTTCTGTACCCCTGACATTGTGTGTGCAAAATTTCATGGTGGGTTAGCGCTCGCATCGATATCTTAAATATGTGTCAAAAATCATTAATGATCTACGACCACAAAACTAATATTTATATCCCTCGGGAGTAGTATTCTTTTTTTTTTATATAAAAAGTACCCTATATCCTTTTCTGTATCCTTGATCATGTTAGTAGAAAATATTATAAAAATCGGTTATGTAGTTAAGGAATGAAATGGTAATTAGGATTTTACTTAAAACACCAGGCCTGCAAAAACTCGGAACTTTTGCGCAAAAATTTCAAGATATACAAATTCAAATTTTTCACACACGTTTCGTAAGAGTAAAAGAGACCACGCAACAAAAAAAAAACATCAAGTTCGTCGCGATTAACCGTACGTTTTACAGAACTCAATTAAAAACATTCTTAATTAAAATCAAAATAATCTATATGATATTAATTAATCGCAAACAATTTGGGTATTCTGCAGTAGTACAGAAACCGCTCTTTATATGTATGGGTATTTCGAAGAAATTTTTATATGGAATGCTGTAATAAAATATTTAATTTCATTTAATTCAAAACACTTCGCTAGAGGACACAAATAGAGAATCAACAGGGCATTGGCAATTGAAAATGTGTTGATTATTTCGGATTTACATAAGCTAGTGCAAATATTACACACGAAAGTGTGCCAATCATTTGACTACATAATCGAAGTGTCGAGGTTTAGAATCGAATATTTAACCCTCGCTCTGCCACAAATTCTGTTAACATGTGTATATTTATATCTATGTGTAAATTGAAAAAATATAAATATATATCTTTATTGTTAAATACATATATAATTTTCAGCGTCAATTCATTATTTTATTTCTACCCAAAATACCTACTAGTAAAAGTAAAATTAAAAATATCTAATAAACATAACAAAAAATAACCATGAAAATACACAAATAACAACATAATGTTTAAAAATAAACCCAAATTTTTCGCAAAAGAAACAGTAATCGTAAAAGGTAATTTGGTAACTATAACTTGACTAATAACCCATAAAAGAATTTGACCCATCCTAACGAAATGGGACAATTCTAGTCGATAAGGCTAAGAGGAAAGTCACAAGCTTGTTCTTGGCTAGGTAGATATACAGGGGTAAAAGATTAGTATGCTTACATTTGCAGATAATACAGCAGTATTAGCATCTAGCAAGAAGGACTTAGAGATAGCTTTAAATAAAATGGAAGCGGTATTGATAAAACAGTACTGTATGAAAATAAATAAAAGTAAAACAAAAATACTGGCATGCAAGGGAAGGAAAAGTAGGGAAAGAGCGAATATAAAGATAGGAGAAAGTGGCTGATTTTAGTTATCTAGGAAGTCAGATAAGTCAGGATGAAAGGAGTAGTAGGGATATAAAGCAGAGGATATCATATGGACAGTGGGCGCGGCGGAAAAGAAAAGGTTAGGAGCGTTCGAAATGTGGTGTTATAGGCGAATGATAAGGATAACATGGATAGAAAAGGTTAGAAATGAAGAGGTATTAGAAAGAATAGGAGAACAGAGAACTCAGTGGAAGTAAATAAAAAATAGGCGAGATAAGCTGGTAGGACACCTTCTCAGGCATGAAGGTCTAGTCAGAGACATACTAGAGGCAGAAACAGGAGTTAGGAGGGGTAGAGGTAGACCTAGATTAAATTACTGTTCGCAAATAGTTAAGGATATGGGTTGTTCTAGCTTTAGGGAATTGCGAAGTTTAGCTCAGGATAGGAAAGAGTGACTGACGACCTTATGATGATGATGATTATTATTAAGATGCTTCTTCAAGATTCACACAAAATAGTTACATCTCGATAAATTCTATTAAAGTAAGGGTATAAACGCCATTACCCTATTTAAAATTAAGGTTATAACATAACAGTAATGAGATTGCCTAAATCTTTACACTTTAAAAAAGTATTTTAAACCAATGAAAATGTAACTGCAGCTTTTGCTTAAAACATCAATATCGCCTCTGAAAGCGGCAAATATGCCATCAAATATTTCGACAGTTTTGCTAATAATGGACAAGTGAATGCAGATCTAAATCTAAACTGTCCGTTATGTGCTTGTGCTGCTATTGACAGGTTAATAGAGGTACCTATCCACTTATTGGATACGTGCAAACGATCTTACAAATGGGAACTTCGTTTTCATTCGAAATTCAGTTGATCTCTCTCTACAAATTTCGATACAGGTGAAAATAGCATTTCCACATCCATCAGCTATCTGTTGTTAAATTACCACTCGTGTTAAAAATTGTTCCCATTTCGTTATCTATGTACATACCTAAACCTATTTCTCTATAATAAACTTCTAATTGTAAGTGGATTTTTGTCCATAGAATAAGGAAAAAAGAATTAATAAAATATATTTGTTGTTCAGTGTATAATAAACACCATTCGTGTCAAAAGGAAGGAACAGATTTTCACCAATAAAATAAAAAATTTTGAAAATAAATTCTTTCAAACAATTTTTTCTTTTTTCTCAAACTCGAACTTCCTTTAGATTAAATGGAACAGTTGAAAAAAACAACAGAGGGTTGACTGTAACAGGGTAGGCATCCTGTAGTATAAAGAGATCTATGTTCAATACTAATTGGTTAACTCGAAATTAACCGCTACCTCGTTTACCATGCGCCATTTCACGTCATTTTCAATGGTTAATCTTCAGGGTGTACGTATAATATTATAAACTTGTAAGGAGTTGAATATTTAGCAAAGAAATATTCTGTTTCATGTACTCATCAAAGGGTGGCATCATCTTTTGAAAAATGCAACGTGATAGAGGGAAATTCATACAAATACCACCTTCAGTCATCTTCTCATATAAATAATAATAATAAAGTAATGTAAGCTAAACAAAGTTTTTGTAATATTTTACAGTTTATTCGAGAGATTTTTAGAGTTCGGTTAGTTTAAGAAAGTTTTCAGAAAAGCTAATGATATTTTCAGGAAAACGTGGTCATCATCATCATATGGTCGTCAGTCCTAAGACTGGTTGGACACTAACCTCCACTCTCTCATATCCCGAGTTAAACTTCGCATTTCCCTACATCCTTAACTAACTATGAATAGTAATCTAATCTAGGTCTGCCTCTACTCCTCTTAACTCCTGTTTCTGTATCTAATATGTCTGAGAAGGTGTCCTACCAATTTATCTCGCCTATTTCTTATTGATCTGAATTCCATAGAGTCCTCTGTTCTTCTATTCTTTCTAATATCTCTTCATATCTAACCTTCTCTATCCACGGTATCCTAACCATTCGTCTGTGACAACACATTTCGAACGCTTCAAACCTTTTCTTTTCCGCCGCGTTCACCGACACGTTTTGCACCCGTGTAGTGCCGTGCTCCAGATATACACATTTAACAATCTTTTCTCAGTTTCTAAATTAACCGTTCGTGAGCTTTTTATTAAAGACAACTCGACCCTACGTTGTCCTCTGTTTTATATCTCTACTGCTCCTTTCATCCTGACTTATTTGACTTCCTAGATACCAAAAATCAGTCACTTCTTCTAATTTTTGGTCTCCTATCGTTACAGTCACTCCTTTCCTTCCCAATTTTTAGTATACCTGTTCAATTTTTACTACGCGTTCGGTAAAAATATCACCCAGTTACGTCTATGTATAAACTGAAGCAAGCGGAAGTACATAAGTGTAAAAATAAAAATCAAAACCGAAACAAATGACGAACGGCCCTCCTACGAATATTGTGGTCGTAGGTAACGTTCATTACGCATACTTTTATTATGCACGTCAAGTTCACATACGTAAATATACACAGTGCAATGGTGTAGATTTTTGAAATCCACTGCATATTAGATTTATTAAAATAACTTTTTAAAATTTTTACTTAAATTTAGAATCTACTTATAACTTCAAACTGCGATTTGCCCGCGCTGTAGTCGTCGCCCGCGCAAATGCAGCGCGGCTACCATTTACTTTGCGGTTATGCAAAAGTATCTCCCACGCATGTGCGCCACGTCACTGGCCCATCTTGTCAGTGATTGTCGTCTACATGTAAAAAATTATAATAACATCATATAAAATAGGATGTTACACTGAAAAGTTTTTGCACATCGATGTAAGTTAGCGAAAGAGGAGGTCTCCCCTACCACTGTACCATAAAAAGTTCGTGGTGGTCTCGCCCCTATAAAAAGTTATAGGGGTTCAAAGTCAATAAATATGCCAATTTTTATACATTTCTAGGCATGTAAATATTTATATAGTCATTCTTAAACAATATTCAAAGATAAAACTAATGGAAAAATACATAAAAATATTGAGAAAGTTATATAAAACATTATTTAAATATCTTTATCAATAGGGTAGGTTAGGTTAGGTTATCGGGTTTTGTTCAAGTGACCACCCTCTTTCGATCCCCCACCTCCACCCGCTTGAAAATATTTTTTTTATTGAATTTTATTTGAATTATAGTGTATGACAATTGTCAAAATAATCAACTTTCAACCCCCATAACTTTTTACGGGGGTGAGACCGCCGCAAATTCTTTACGGGGTTTTACTCAGATGACCACCCTCTTTCGATCCCCCCTTCCCTCTCTCGATACCCCCTACCCCCACCCTATCTACCCCCATAACTTTTTATGGGGCTGAGACCGCCACGAACTTTTTATGGTACAGTGGTGGGGGAGACCTTCTCTTTCCCGGAGGGGGTGGGAGTCATCATCTAGACATTTACCATTTTTTATTGTAATTTTATTTTCATTTCTTCTAAAACGTTTGGAATTTTTGAAAAAACAAAATTTGTCCTTACTTTACCTGGAAGAATTTTCCGGTTTTATTAATCCGTAATTCACGTCCCATTTGCTACGCCCCTGTTTATGGATCATCAGATCATCACATTTCCGCTATCACACTTAAATTTAGTTCGACAATCATAAAACGCGCAACAGAAGCCGCGCATGTTTGTTTTAACTCGGTTTGTCACCCGCTGCGACTAATTCTATTGTAAATACCACATCAAGCGCAGCGGAAAGTAATCGATAGTAAAAGTTTGCGAACTTTGTTTATTAAACTGTGTGCGTGAAGTTCATTGAAACTGCAAACTGTATAGCGGGACCGCGAAACTTTCGAAATGATACGCGACTTGAAACAGAAAGTGAGTTATATTTTATAAAATACCTTCCTTTGTTAGTGCTAAAATGTACTGGATAAGACCGATACCAATAGGTCAATAGTTCAGTAGTTTTAAAGGTCAACTCCTGTTCAGTTTTTTGCCTTATCACCAAATACCATTGCTACTGAGTTATGAATGTTATAGCTTGTTGCAAACGAATCAATAAATATTTCATATGAAATTAACAATGTTAATGCGATACGATAATTAATTATTGAATTGAACCACTCAGTTGGATTAAATTATTCAAATTAAATTTCCAATTATTAATCTTGAAGCACATTCTTATTGATACTATTTTTCAAAAAATGATTCTGTCTTTTGATGATTGCATGTAGGCAGTATTTAACAAATTAACTGCTTACGATTAGATTGTTAAATGTTGATAAGTGAAGAATTATCACGGTCATTTACAATAACGCATTTTTTTTTTTTTTTGCCTTGAAACAGTGGCGGGCTAAGGCTAAAGCGGGCCTTAAGTAACATTGTAATTCCGGGCCTATTTTTCAGATAAAATATTTTTCAAATAAAAATAAAAATTAATTATAAAAATCGAAAAATTAGAAACCTTATTTTCGGGCTCCAACAATTACGGGCACTAGACACGTACCTAGGTTTCCTAGGCCTTAGTCCGCCCCTGCCTTTAAACAATAGGAAATGCCATTTTACCTATACACAGTATGGTCCAAGCATCAATCTTTTTGTTTTTATAACTCCAAATCTGAAAATCACGAATTTCAAACCAGTCTGTCTGTCTGTCTGCCGGTTGGAAATATCACAGAACATCAAAACCTTATCGATGAAATTTGAAATGGTCAAAATTTTGAATATTCACAATCCGTTTTACCCACCCGCCTACCTACCTACCGTTTTTATTCACGCATTAAAATAACCTCCAGAATCTCACACATGTGCAGCATGAATATGATCTCCTGCAAAGAATGCGCCTACTCATTCAATGTCATCCTAAATAGCACAAGTTAGGTATTCTCATTATAAGTATAAACAGATTTTTCAAGCAACCGTGGCACATCATTGGGATGCCTTTCGAATGGCAATTAGTAAGCACGGATATGCGTACTAGACTTCAATGCACGCTAATTGTTTTGACGTGACACACATATTTTAGTTGTTCAGAATGTCAGAAACCATTTATTGTACATTACACTCACGTATCTGGAGTTTGTATCAAAAGTGGAAAAAAAAATGCGTGACCTTTAGAAGCTAACTCCCTTTCTGAGATCTTGGGCAAATAATGGACTTTTTGTTAGTGTAACTAAAAATGGCGTTACTACCCACTACTCACTCGGTCATTTAAAGAGCATTAATAATAATAATAACAATCGAGGAATTAAATTTAAAAATCATAGAAATCAGAATTTAAAATGTATTAGGGCTATGTCATTCACCCTCATGGCATTCTGTACGTCTTCCGGTAAATAATAAGCTAAGTCAATGTTTTAACCCAGTTTCTTAATTGATACCACTCACTACCATATATAGATACAGACAGATACTCCCGAGAAATGTCCGCATCCAAGTCACATGTATGCTTAAAGGGCGTTTATTAGTCGCGCATGCGCTAGCCGTGCGACCAATTGTCCCGCACCCTTTTTTAATGGATGCACAATGCGGAAAATGGTACCATGTACCTGCGGTCTTCGTAGACACTGCTTCCGGATTGCTTTTTTTTATACAATAGATTATAGCTGTAACTAATAAACCTTATTATTATATGGTAATTTCCATGTTAATATTTATAGTTTGAATCCGATGGTTACGTTGTTCTGCAAGACTTTTTAACCGAAGATGAAGTTAACTTACTTAAAGCGGAGCTAGATACTTTACTAAAAGATATGCCCGAACAGGAAAATCGTACAGTATTCAGTACTGTAAACAAGGAACAGGTAAATAAATACTTTCTTTTAAACTAACTTAAAAGAGATTATTGAGGAATTTACTTATTATAATGAACTTAAATAGAAAGTACATATTTTAAAGTTATACTCAACATGTTTGTAATTTTATAAAATATAAACGTTTTCGCTTGTAATGTATAAAAATTTAACTCGAATTCATTACACATGCATATATAATAGGGGTGAATGAAGGGGAAGTGGTCGTTTCCGACGTATCACAATTTTTGACCTTTTGGAGATTAGTACCAAAGGAAAAGGACGAAAAAGAAACAAGGTAGTGGTCACATTCAAAATACTTTTTGTCACTGAATTCAAGTATGATCACATCAGTACAAAGATTTTGAAATACGTTAACTTCATTTTTCATTTCTAAAGCACTTTTTCAACAGAAAACCGAAAAAGGAGTAATTATTATTGATGCATTTTCTGACGACGAAAAATATGAAGTGTTGCGGAGAAAAATTGAAAGCGTAGGAGACGTGTGTTATAATCGGATAATAAAAATATCGTGGATAGAAAAAATTAGAAAAGAGGTGCTATTAAAAAAAGTAATAGAACAGATGGCGTAACAGAGCTAATAACATAAGAAATAAGCAAGATAAGGTGGTATAGGACACCTCCTCAGACTTGAACGGCTAGAGAAAGACATATTAGAAGCAGAAGCAGGAGTTAAGTGGGGAAGATCAATGCTCGCGAATAGTGAAAGATGTAGGTTGCTCTAGTTTTCGAGAAAGGTGAAGATGTATTCAAGATAGGAAGAAAAAAATAAGAAAAAATTCTAAAATTAAGATATTTTAATAACTATCTGCTATTAAGAGACCAAATTCAAATTCACTGACAAAAAGTAGGTACTACCTGTTATGGCGAAAACGTTTTGTCCTTGTTCTTAGTAATTATGATCAAAAAATGACCCATTGAAACACTATTTAAGGGCTGCCGCTTTATCCAATAATCTGCAATAATATCAGAAGGGTCATCTCCAAAAACCAATTTACAGTAGAGTGATTTTTATTTTTTATTTGTAAGTAGGTATGTCAATTAATTATATTTCTTACAGGCTAAAAGTAAATACTTTTTGGATAGTGCTGACAAAATAAGTTACTTCTTCGAAGCGGATGCATTGGGACCAAACGGTGAACTGTTGATACCAAAGGAGAAATCCCTTAACAAGGTTGGCCACGCTCTCCATGAATTGAATAAAAACTTTAGAAAAATTACCTTCGACGAAAGGGTGAAAGAATCATGCTTTCAACTGGATTTTCAGGAACCAGTAGTGGTACAGAGCATGATTATATTCAAAAATCCAGGTGTTGGTAGTGAAGGTAAGATAAAAAAAAACAAATGTAGCAAATGGCATTTAACGCGATTGCGTTCTGAATTTAAAAAACAATTTTCTTAGCTTCATTTACTATTATGCCCCCATTTTTTGGTTAAGATAGATATTGAAAAATTTAACAGGAATATCATAACTGAAGGGCAAAGCATTTTCATTCATTTGTTTCAACAAAGTTACAGATGTTTTCACAGAAAGTGAAAATATTTTAAGAGAAACCATATGCAGCTGTCACAAATTATTATTCATAGTCGGTATGCATAGTATAATAATTTTTATGACAAATAGATGTATAATAAACGCTCTAAGTTAACTTTAAACCTCTTTCTTAAGTGACAGCCAAATATTTTTTGACTTCGCTTTTATTAGTCTGTAAGTTATTTACAGATGCAACGAATTTATGTAAAAGTTGGCAAAGTATCTACAGCTAGGGAAAAACTAAAAACACCTGGCTGGCCTAAAATAGATATTGTAGAATAGCCCATTTTATGCTTCTGTAATAATAATTAATAGAGGTATTTTGAAATGTCTTGGTCCTTAAAATGCGCGAGGGACAGATTTTATTTGCATTCATATTGTATACTGTAAGATAACCGTGTAAGCGTGATGACCAGGCGACCAACGCTTTTAATGAGAAGTAGAAATCAATAAATACACGTCATGTCACTACACAACCCAAAATCAAAGACATGACCCATGAAATTCTCAACTACCTCTAGTAACGCCATTTCTTTATAAAGTAGCATTCCATGTACCTTAAAGTTTGAAAACCGAAAACGCTGATGAAATGAAATTTGGGCCTTCGGCATAACTTTGTGAATAGCACAAACCTAAATCTATACACGTTCAACTTTTTAAATTGATAACTTCATTAACATATGCGAGTTTTTTAGAGTTACTGACGGTCATCTGAACTGAAGTTTTTTTCTTGATGAGTGGTCAGATTTAAAAAAGAAAAAAAATTGAATGAAGAAAATACAACAATTCAATACGAATATATCAATCCAAAAGCGTATTGTTACATAGTCTAAATGCAATATGATCTCCAGAGAGGCAAAATGAAATAAAAACAAAAAGACAATAAACATATTAGTCAAACCAAAGCGAAAACTTATACATAATTAACTGAATTACAGAGATCAAACTGTTTTCGGAAACAATAAAAAAGTTCTGCCCTATTATTAAATTTTCTCCTAATTAGACTTCAAAAAAATGCTTGGTTTTGTGTCTCTTTCGAATATCCTTTGTTACTGCCAATTCTGATTTAAGCTTAGGATTGATTCTAACTCATTAACATTGTTACATAAACAACAACAACAACAAAACTACTAAAGACACTAATAGGCCTACTGATCAGTAAGAAAAGATACAAATAATAAGTATTTGAAGGCGTATTACATTTTTTAACTGAATATATATCTTATACCCTCATAGTAAAAAGCTTTTAGACAAAACAATTGTATATCAGATAATTTCTTTTCCTTTTTGATAACAGTAGCGTCATGTAAATTTTGATCTGAATGTTCTCTCCTAATCGGCGGAAAATAAAGTAATAACAAATACAATTTTTTGTTATGTCATTAACACATTCTACTATGTTAATAAGTGATTAAATACATTGATCACTTAAAGCATGTGTTTATTCAAATTTTGAGTTTTTCACTATTTAAGACTAAACTAGTTCTGATAACAAGACAAATAAAAGGTTATGCCAGGAAGTAAACAAAAATTTAATAAAATATTATCAGTAAAACTTTTGGATATCTAAAGCCACATTTCTGTCTACTATTTATTATTAACAGGGGCATGAAAAAAGTGCTTTGTTTCTAGTTGTAATGCATCAAGACGCATCGTACTTATACGCGGAGCCACTGAAACTTGTAGGCTTCTGGATTGCTTTAGAAGACGCTACCGTCGAAAACGGATGTCTATGGATAGCACAAGGATCCCATCGAAGTGGAGTACATAGGAGACTTACACGCAACCCGGACAAAAATTCAAATGAATTTTTAATTTACGATAAACCAGCGCCTATTTATTCAACGAGCAGTTTTAAACCAGTTCCAGTTACTAAAGGTATGTTCTAGAGCTGTTTAATTATTTATTAATTCATATTTAAAGAAAAATGGATAAGCATAGAGAATTTTGAGTTTAAGAGTTTCGGAATAAATGTAAAATAGTCGAGCTAGAAAAGATTTCAAGTTCTAGAAGTTGCTACTAACTGCACCACATACTAAAATATATTGACAATAACTGAATGTGGTGAAAATAATCGTTGAAAGAAATTGTTTCTTGTGATAAGGCACTACTATCAACTATAACTCCGATTTTTATGTCCTGAGAATAACAAGGTCATATAAAGGATAACTGCAACTATCTCGCAATCATTAGAGAACACGACAAACGTAAAGAATGAATAAGAGAAAGAGAGGTTCTTATATGAATACGAGGGTGGATTGATAAGTTTCCGGCCTAACCAAGAGATGACGCCACTAGGCCTACCTTGAGGTGACATTCTATAGTACCATCCTTGGATAGCTTGTAGCTATAGTTTCAGCCCGATCTCCTTGCTAGTGTAGGTTTGACAGCACGCTGAACAAGACGCCTCTGTGGTTTTCGTAAAAATGGAAAAGCAGGAAAATCGTGCTGTCATCAAATACTTTTATTTGAAGGGGTTAACGCCGAAGGAAATTAAAAAAGAGATGGACTCAACACTGGGGACATCCTCCCCGTCATATTCAACCGTTAAGCAGTGGGTTTCCGAGTTTAAAAAGGGTCGTGTGAGCACCTCTGATGGGCCTCGCTCAGGACGCCCCGTTGAGGTCACAACTCCAGATATGATCGAAAAAATTCATCAAATAGTGCTGGGAGACCGCAGATTGAAAGTGCGTGAGATAGCTGAGACCTGTAAGATGTCATATGAACGTGTGCAACATATTTTGCACCAACATTTGCATATGGAAAAGCTCTGTGCAAGATGGGTGCCGCGTTTGCTAACAGTCGACCAAAAATTGATTCGAAAAAACATTTCTACCGCAAATTTGTCATTGTATAAGCGTAATCCAAGCGAATTTTTGCGTCGATTCGTAACCGTTGACGAAACGTGGGTCCACCACTACACTCCTGAAACCAAAGAACAGTCTAAACAGTGGATTGGACCAGGGGAACCAACTCCAAAGAAGGCAAAAACAATTTTTTCGGCGAACAAGGTTATGGCTACTGTTTTTTGGGATGCAAGAGGTATTATATACATTGATTACCTTGCAAAGGGTAATACTATCACTGGTCAATACTACGCAGACTTATTGCAACGTTTGAGCCACGAGGTGAAAATTAAACGACCTCATCTGGCGAAGAAAAAAATCTTGTTTCATCACGATAACGCACCAGCGCACACGTCAATCGTTGCGACGGCTAAAATCAACGATCTAAAGTTTGAATTGATGCCGCACCCTCCTTACTCTCCAGACCTAGCCCCGAGTGACTATTTTCTGTTCCCTAATCTCAAAAAATGGCTTGGCGGTAAGAGATTTGCGGACAATGAAGAAGTAATCGAAGCTGTAAATGGTTATTTTGAGGAGCTTGACGAATCAGTCTATAGAGATGGCATTAATAGACTGGAACACCGCTATGAGAAATGTATCAGCCTTGGAGGAGATTATGTTGAGAAATAAAAAAAAAAATTTTTAAAAACCTTGTTTTTCTTGGTCAGGCCGGAAACTTATCAATCCACCCTCGTATTATACATATCGTGTTTGGAACGTATAAAAGTTACCGTGCCCGCTCTCTAAACAAAAAAAGACAGATAAAAAACAAAAACAAATTACCTACGTGTTTGGTTGCGGCAGATTCGTAACTGCGCTCATTATCTTATTTTTTTTTTACATAAACTACATTATGTATTTGAATTTTCTGGCTTATAATTTTCGAGAATGAAACTGCGAACTATCTTAAAATAAAATTAATTTAAGTTAAAAAAAACAACACTATACCTACATATACAAATTTAAACTAAAAAGTAGAAAAAAATATTTTAATTACTTTAAAGCAAAGTGTATTACAGAGCAATCAACAAAATCATTGTTACTTATATATTCATTTACAATTTATAATCAGTTATTTTTGGAAACGGTGTCAATCAAGAGGGACAGTTTAATCCTGCCTTTGCAACAAACTTTTCGTCAAATTTCTTTTACCCAATTTCTACATTTACATTAATGTATTCATTGATTAATGAAGTAAGTATCTTTGGCTTGAACCTACTCCAAAAATATTGATTATAAATTGTATAATACCTAAGTATCAATGATTTTGTCGATTGTTATGTAATGCACTTTGCGTTTAAGTAATCAAAACATTACTTTCTACTTTTTAGTTTAAGTTTGTGTAAGTATGTAGGTCGGTATTTGTTTTTTGTTTTATAAAAAATAACTTCATTTTCAATTTTTAGTGTGTACGTTTATAATTTTGTTTTTGATTTTTTCAAAAAGCACTAAATCAATTTCAAACCTCTGAAGTATGGCCTACCAAAAAAAAAGAGGAATAATCAAAATCAATTCATAATTAGCAGAGTAATCGCTTAACAAACACAAAAAAAACGTACAGTCAAATTGAGAACCTCGTCCTTTTTTGAAGTCGGTGAATTATTTGATTACGTGAATAAGTATATTTCTTATACGGTTAAAGGTATCTGACGTCTGAGTTTTCTTCATGGGTCAGTATATAGCGAGGTTAGTGTTAATGTTAAGGATGTTTGGGAGGTATGTCAAAATGCTACAAGACAAATAAAAGGTTATGCCAGGAAGTAAACAAAAATTTAATAAAATATTATCAGTAAAACTTTTGGATATCTAAAGCCACATTTCTGTCTACTATTTATTATTAACAGGGGCATGAAAAAAGTGCTTTGTTTCTAGTTGTAATGCATCAAGACGCATCGTACTTATACGCGGAGCCACTGAAACTTGTAGGCTTCTGGATTGCTTTAGAAGACGCTACCGTCGAAAACGGATGTCTATGGATAGCACAAGGATCCCATCGAAGTGGAGTACATAGGAGACTTACACGCAACCCGGACAAAAATTCAAATGAATTTTTAATTTACGATAAACCAGCGCCTATTTATTCAACGAGCAGTTTTAAACCAGTTCCAGTTACTAAAGGTATGTTCTAGAGCTGTTTAATTATTTATTAATTCATATTTAAAGAAAAATGGATAAGCATAGAGAATTTTGAGTTTAAGAGTTTCGGAATAAATGTAAAATAGTCGAGCTAGAAAAGATTTCAAGTTCTAGAAGTTGCTACTAACNATAGTATTTATTTACCTCATGATATGCTGCAAAACCTAATTAATCACGAATTTCTAATTTTATGTACTCTTATCTCCGATTGTACCTCCCAAACATCCTTAAAATGTTAGTGAGTGTATTTTTAAAAAATGTGTGTGTAAAATCCAAGCTTGCCCTTTATTGTAATGGTTGTTGTTAATAAGATTTTGCAACGTATGACTGTTTGTAAACTCTTTTGGATACAAGAATGTTAAAAAACATGGTATAACACATTAGATATTACATATTTCGAAATCCGAAATGTCTGCCATCTTTTCAAATATATGCGAACAAAATCACCTTTGAATATTTGAATATCATACATGTAGGAATCGGAGCCTCATCACTTGCTGTATCATGCAATTTTCAATTTCATGCTGGCACCTTATGTATTCCTAATAAGATGTTGTTATCACTGATTTGACCTTTTCAGGCAGTCGTAGGTACTCGAACGATATTTTTGCATATACGTTTTTTGCCAAATCATACAGCGCATCATGTAATGTTGAATTTTCAGCATTTTAAAATTAAATTAAATCAAAAGTAATCCGAAAATTTCTTTGCCCTGGTAAATTTTTCACATTCTGACCTTTGCAATTTGACTAATGACGAGTTGACAACCGAACATGAAGATATTTTAATACACGTAATCATCAAAAGATCCACCTCTACTTAAACCACTGTAAAGAACTAAATTGTGCGCGTCCAAATATGAAAAATAGTTAAAAAGAACTCAAAATTATGAATCATTGCCATCCATTTCGCAAAAACGCGTTTTCATTAAAACAGGCCTTTTTACTCCTTCCGACACCCTGTCGTGCATATATCATACGAAATTAAATTCGCCTCAATTCTACAAAAATGCGTAATTGTTGTTGCGCGTCCAAATTTGAAAATTCGTTAAAGTGGACCCTGAGTTACGAATCATTAGATTTCGAAAAACATGACAAAGTCACTTTAGTTTTTACGACTCCTTACCCCGTTTATACGTTACAAATTTAAATTAACCTTACCACTGTAAAGTGCGTAATTTTGCGCGTCAAAATTAGAAAATTGGTTGAAGTGGATCCTGAGTTATTAATAATAAGATTTCGAAGGACAAGACCCAAGTCACTTTAGTTTTTACGACTCTTTGCCCCGTTTATATGTTACAAATTTAAATTAACCTTATCTACCACCGTAAAGTGCGTAATTTTACGCATCCAAATTTGAAAATTGTAAAAAGTGAACCCTAAGTTATGAACCATTAGATTTCGAAAAAACTCGTTTTTCTGGAAAAATAGGACACAGGTCACCTTTTAGATGCCCTGCCGCGCTTACATCATGCAAATTTAAATTGACTTGACCATTGTAAAGTGCGTAATTTTGCGCGTCCAAAAATAAAAGAAATCTTAAGTTATAAACTATTTCTTTCAATTTTTCAAAAATTAGTTTTCATCAAAACAGAGGTGGCGTTACTCTTTAAAGCACCCTGTGGTGCTTATATCATACAAATTTAAATTGGTTTTAATAACCCATTGGCAGACTTTAGACATTCGATGCCGCTTGCATGCTATTTTATATTAGGGATCAAATATACATGATACTTGCAAAATTTTCCCGACTACAAGGAAAATTTCACGAAATACGTCTATTCCTATGGTGTTCGTTTGTTATTACCACTCGTTCCGCACTCTTTTTTTTATTAGACCTTAAGGTACATGTACCGTACCTACCAAATACATAAACACTACTTCCGAATTATATCCAATTACTAGATCCAAAAGAATGTATTAACAATATTGGTCAAAATTAATTCTAGACAGATCTTAAATAAATAACGCTTCTCTTTTGTTATATATTTTTTAATGCAAAAAGAACTAATTCGTTAGATACTGTTTTTTATTTTTTTTTTTTATGAATTGAAGTTACACGTGCTTTATTAATTCCAGGAACGTGTATTCTAATTCATGGACAAGTGGTTCATTACAGTCCTGCAAATAAATCTGCTGATTCCAGACATGCATATACTTTTCACGTGTTAGAGGAAAAGGACACTAAGTATTCAAAAGATAATTGGCTTCAACTCCCCGAAGGAAAATCTTTTCTCAACGTATATAAAACATTCTAACACGAACTTGTATAATTAGCAACAAATTAGTTATTAAGTTAAAAAAGTTCCGTGTAATTAGTTTAATGAGCAAAAAGTTAATGATAGATTAGTTTTAAGATTTTTTTAATGAGGAAAAAGTGCTACTATTTCTTGTTACATTGCTTTGTGAAATTGACAAGGTATTTAGCTCAATATTCAACATTTTAAAATTCTTCTTGACATTAAAAACAAAATTAACTAAAAATTGCATTTCAGAATAGNTAGAAAGTCAACCTAAGAGAACTTCTAATCGAATAGAGACCAAGAAAAAACAGGTACAATATTTAATATTCTTATTAATTACTTGTTTAATTTAATAGAAAACAAGTAAAAAGTTTTCTCTTCTTTCTAAATTTATCCTTTTGTTTTTTATTTTATTAATAAGCCTTTTTTTACTATCGTTTTATGGAGTGATATTGAATAATTTTAAATTCACTTGCTGTTTCTTATAGTAAAAATGTAAGAATTAACTTAAAAGTATTGTGAAGAATTAATGTAAATTAATTTCCTTTAAAATAAGTACCACAATAAACACATTTATTACGTTTTTGTAATTACCCTGTGCGTGTAATTCAAATTAGACTAATAATAGACCAATAAATACATACAGCGCCATCACCAAAATTTTAGACGAACAATAACCATTTTTGAAGTACAAGTGGGTGACATCTGCATTTGACATTTGAAATAAAATTCGTTTGATTCAAATTCAAAATATAACCTCAAAATTTCTCGTAAAGTAGAAATTGAAAAATAAGATTAAATGCTTTTAAAACATTATTTCACGAAATGGACCCTTTTTTAGAGTATATAGTAAATGCGAAAAACACATTGGTACGTTTTCACAATGGTAAGATATACACAAACTCTCAACTTAATTTTTCAGGAAGATACACCACCTTTCATGAAAATTCATGTAGTAATGGGAAACGAATCTTGTGATTTAGATTCCATGGTTTCTACATTAGCACTTTCGTATTATCTGTACAAAAAAGTGTATGATCCAAATAAAGTTATAGTAGTACCTTTATTAAACATTAACTCTGAAGAGCTGTCCTGGAGGACTGAAAATTGCTTTGTATTAAAGAAAATTCAGTTGGATAAAGAAAATTTAATATATAGGTAATGCCACCATTACTTTAAACAAAAATATACTAGAATATATGAGTTAATAAATGCCTTTTCAGAAACAATATAGATTTAGAAGAAATTCAGACAAAAAAGACCTTAAGTGTATCACTTGTTGATCATCATGTTTTGAAACCTGAAGATTTGTTTCTTGCAAAATCTGTAAGACAAATATTTGACCACAGACCAAAAGATTCTGCAGCTAATTGGGATTTAGATACAGTTAGATTTGTATTAAAAGAAGTAGGTTCTTGTGCAACTCTTGTTGCTGAAGAAATAATAAGAAGTGATCCAAGTATACTTGTAGCTAATTTAGCTACATTACTTTATGGTAAATTGTATATTAATTTTAAAATCTGAAGAGCCAACTTGAATTTGTCATTTACAGATACTATAACATTTGACACAATTGCCTACAATGTAGAGGCAGGTAAAGTAAAAGAATTGGACTTGTGGGTAGCAAGTTATTTAGAAGAGAAATTTAAATTTCAAAAAACTAGAAAAGCTTTGTTTGATGAACTATGGTATGCACATAACAATGTCTCTCACTTAACACCAAAGCAGCTACTTTATAAGGATCTTAAAATTGTGGAATGTGTACTTGTGCCAGGATTGCCAATGCTAGTACAGAATTATTTAAAAATGAATAATGCAATCTCTGAATTGCCAAGGTTTTGTGAGCAAAGAAAAGGCCAAATTGTAATGTTAGTGGGACTTCAGGTAAACTTTTGGTAATATTAACTTTTTTCACGTTAAATAAGCATTTACAATAATTTTTTACACAAATGAAAACATATTTTGCATTACTTAGGAGCTCTTTCTGTTTGCGGTCAATGAATAAGAAAAAAAAAGAAGTATTCATTAAAAACCTTCATTAGTTCTAACTAATGTTAGAAATTAGCTTTTTGAAAAGATACCCTATTTATTTGAACTCAGCTATCATATTTTAAAGTTTAGAAAAATTACAGAGAACAAAGAATAGCTTTAATAAGTTGTAAAAAAGTTTTATGGTGGAAATTACCTTTTCTAAAAAGTCGTATTTATTTTTTTTACAATCTAATGTTTAAGTTAATAAGTACTGCCTGCCTAAATGTGTATACTTATTATTTATATTTTAGTATGCTGAAAATAAGGTAAAACGGGATTTAGCAGTTTACCCAAATGACGACGCTTTAGGCAAATTGATTTTAAAATGCCTGAATAGAGCAATTGATTATTGTGGATATAGCCTGGATCTGAAGGAAGTTTCTGTAAATGCTCCCAAAGTAACGTGCATGAAACAGGAAAATATTAAAATTTCCAGAAAACAAATACTTCCAATTATTAGAGAAGCAATTTTGATTTATAGACAAGAAAAATAAAGACACTCTCCATATTGATTTATGTGCACTGCTATTCCTTTCAATTTATTTTAAAAATTGTACAAAATAGATAAAAATAAAAATCAGCAAGCATTTTTAATTATTAATTATCAATCCGTTTTTCCTGGATAAAAAATTTTGCTGAAACTTACAGTTGTCTAATAATTGTCTTGTAAATTAATAATAACTTATGCCCTTTACAGTNTTTCTATAAACATTGTATATTACTATACCACAATAATTAACACTTTAAGATTTACTATAATGTTTGTTTTTACTATTGTTCTAAATTAACCACTTATAGGTACTTTATTAATTTAGATAAAGGAAATAAGATTCACAATTAAACATTTAATTGAAATCATACCTCTACTACAGAAGTATGAAAATCTAGTCTTCGTACTCCATGCAAATCCAGCAGTGGAAGCATAGGTCGTAATGAAGGTAATAAAATTCCATTGGTTATCTATAAATATTGGTATCTTTCAACAGTAACATGTATCGTTCATAAAAATTTACCTGAAATTCTTCAATAGCTTTCAAAGGGTCAGTACAGCTGGTAAGAGCTTGTTTGAGATAATTTGGGCCATTAACACCTACAGCTTCCAAAGGAAAATCTTTCGACATCATTAAAATATAAACTCAATCACAAATTAAATAAAATTGGTCACATTTGCACTATATTATTAAATATGTTAATATTTTGAATTACTCTCTGAGGTTATGTTATTACTTTTGTCCTTGGTTTTGTTTATTATCTATTATCTATGGTTTATTATTTACCAATCGCTTTTTTAATGCGCAGTCGTGTGTCGTGGGTCATACTTTGGGAAAAGGGTGGAGATAAATAGACAGTGGCGTTGCATAGTATATACATCAGGCCAAAATGAAAAATATTTATTTAGGGCACAAACAGCAAATAAGATAAATTTTTAAAAATTATTTAGATATTAAATGATATTTTTCTGTTTTCCTTATGTTTTTTTTTTAATCAGTTACTTTTGTTTTGTGAAAATATCATTTTCACCAATATACTAAAATTAATTGAAAACAATGTTTACCTAACTCATTTAGGTTTAGTGTAAAATTTAAAAAGAAATTTAAAAAATAAAATATAAAGATTATTTTTCTCGTTATTCTTGTTTCTTCTTAGGAGACGCATCTGTACAAAAGGAAAGGAAATGGCCAAACAAGCCAAAAGTCATTTGCTGGCGTCAATTTCCTGTTTTCAAAAGACAGTTAGTAATATATAAAATGTAAAAATTTTTGTGTTGTTTTTACTGAAGAATATTTTAAATGTACGGCTAGTATTTTGCGTTATCATCGTATCTTTTAAAATTTTGTGTGGGGACAATTATTGTTTCACAACAGTTGTGTTCATTGTGTAGTGTATTTAGGAATTTTATCAAAAGCTTGTTTGTAAATTGACAATAATGTTACAATAATTACAAGAAGAGTTGCTTTTAAATAAATAAGTACTTAATGGAAACTTGAAAATGTTATATTGGATATCAAGATCAGTGTTCACAAATTCACTGATGTGAATTAAGGAGGTTACGTGTATTGATTATAGTATAGGTTATGTTTCCAACTTTCATCAGCATCCTAGGTGTGTTTTTAATTTTGAAGTATATTGCTTGATTATCGTCACGTTTTACAAAAGAATTTATATATTATTAGATATACAGTCATGGTGGGAAGTACCAAGTATTGCACATTTCTGTTCCCTTTTTCGTTCTTCATTCAACCTGTTGGACTTCGACATTGAAGTAAGTCCTTGCCTTTTTGCTCTAAATCTGTCGAGTTGTTCTGTAGTGGATAATTACTTATTACATCTCTACATATAATAATTGTGTGCATATAATTTATCTCTTTTTAATAAAAAGTAATATTTTTATTATGAATGTGTTTTTTTGTAGGATCTTGAAGAAGCATTATTAACAGATGGTACTGAGGAAAATTCATGGTTGCAAGAGTTAATTGTCCGTCTGTTAACTGGTTGTTTGCCAAATAATGAAATCTCAACATTTAATTATCAGATGTTTTTGAGACGTCTTTTTCGTGAAAAGTGCAAAGAACACGATAGGTACAACCCATTCAACACTGATATAGATTTTCAATTGCTACCCCTCAGAACTAAAGTTGACATTTTATATGCTCTGTGTGATTTTCGCCTGGATGCTGATGATGTTTTGGAACAGTTAAAGAATTTAGAAGCAGATAGTTTAAGAGTAGAACCACTGGGATATGATGATAATGACTCTGCGTATTGGTATTTTTATGGTACAAGGTAGAAAAATTATCTTCAAAGTTACAATATCAGATTTAAAATTGTCTCTCACATTTAGGTTGTACAGAGAAGATTTTAAGTCTAAAAACAAAAAGGGCAGTAAGTCAGTGTGGCAAGTAATTTGTTTCACACAAGAGGATTGGTTTCAATTGGCAAAAAAGTTTAAAAAATCCCAATCAAAAAACGAGAGGCATTTGTATCACACACTCACTGAAAACTTCCTCCCAGAATTGCCACGGTTATTTCACGAGAAAGAAAGGCTTGCTAGAAAAAGATTACTAGAAAGTCAACCTAAGAGAACTTCTAATCGAATAGAGACCAAGAAAAAACAGGTACAATATTTAATATTCTTATTAATTACTTGTTTAATTTAATAGAAAACAAGTAAAAAGTTTTCTCTTCTTTCTAAATTTATCCTTTTGTTTTTCCAAGGAATTAGAAGCACATGCAGAGAAAAATAATTTAGAAGATCACCCAGAGAATAAATCTATAAAACAACAAGACTTGGAGGAAGAATCAAAAAATAGAGAACTTATTAAAAAGAGAAAAGAGTCATACAGAAGAAGAGCAAAGTTAAGGTTTGTGTTGTCATACTTTTTTTTTTCTTTGGTTTATAAAATACGTTTTTCTAGGGGTCATATTAACGAAACAGAAAGCCATATCTCAGACAGTGAACAAGAAAAACTTTGGAAAAGAAAAGATAGCGACGAGGAAACCGAAATACAAAGCTGTAAGTCAGAGAAAAGCGAAAGTAGCAACACCAGCGGCCGGTATGAGATGGCTCGTGATAAAACGCGTGGTAAAAAGGGCTCGACTAGGCAAAGGAAGAACTCTGGCGGCTCTTGCAGCGGCAGAGGTAGTTTGTAAATACATATTTAATAATTTATGGTTCTTAAAATAAATTGTTTCAGATAATGGCTCCAGTATTTCCCGCTCTACTCATAATACTTCTCACCGAAATAGTGATCGCAGTCGTGGTAAACAGGCGACATCAGGTGGCGGCGTTAAGGGTTCCGCGACGACTGGTACGCCGCGACCCACCACCACCGTAGGTCGACAAACCAATAATTCTCTTGCCGCAGCAACAGGTCAGATCGTTATCCAACCCGTTTCTAACCCTCAACGAAAAAAACTCAAGACATCACAAGTGTAAGATTTAAATAATAAAACACTGAATTGTTGACAAATTATCGTATAATTATGTTTTGCAATATTTTTTTTCTGCAGATTCCGACAAACAGAGGAGGATCTTCAAGTAGGTATGCATAAAATTTTGGATTATGTAAAAAATCACGAAGATGCCTGGCCTTTTGTCGATCCAGTAGAAGAAGAATATGCACCAAACTATTATTCAGTTATCAGAAAACCTATGGATCTTCAACGAATGGAAGATCGCTTAGATTCTGGTTATTACAAAACATTCTCACGATTCCGAGCGGATTTCCAACTTATAGTGGATAACTGTCGTCTATATAATGGAGTCGATAACGGTACGATAATAAAGTAAAAAATACGATCATTCAATGCAGCAATTATTAATTGGCCATTCTCATAAAGTATGTTATTTTTTCGTTTTTGTTTTAGAATATACTGAAATGGTAGGCAATTTGGTACAAGCATTTGAAAAGGGAACCGAGAAGTACCTTGATCAAATATCATCCTCTGATGAAGAAATTCGTATCGAATATTTAACGTCTGAATCTGAATCTAAAAACAGCGCCCCTAAAAAGGAAATTACAGCATCTTCGTCGACATGCAGTAGAAGAAAACCAACTCTGGTAGCCCAAACAGATAAAAAACGGGACCGATCATCATCAGTAGAATCAATTAAAAAGAAAAAAGAAATAGTTGAAAATGCTCCTAAAGTAAAAACGAAAAATGATACAAAAGAACCTTCTCGTGTAAAAGAATTAGTCTCGACCAAGACTAAAAATTTAAAAAGCGGCAATAAAACTAATGAGAAGCATAAGAAAAAGACAAAAAAGAACTCCAAAAACTCGAAGAAGTCGACTAAGAAAAATTCTAGGCCTGGATCTGCATTCAGTCGTAGTAGAAGTGGAAGTTTGGTCGACAGAAGCATGAGTAGAAGCCCTCAAAATCAAAGGTGGAGCAGCAGTCCGCCCCCTCCTTCATGGCCACCGTCTCCGCAGACTCCTAAACGCATGTTCGATTTCGAGCTGAAAAATAATTCAAAACGCCCCAAAAAATTTAGTGATGAGGAAATGAGCAACAGTGGCAAAGGTAATTATTTTTATACCTAATTACTTCTTTTTTACTTTTATTCCTAACTTGCTTGTATTTTTAGACAAGGAAAACAAAAAAGATAAATGGGATGAAGTATTTCGTAGTGACCCTAATTCGTGGGATAAAAAACCTGAGAAGCCACTTTCACCTCAACGACCTAAGGACAAACACAACAAACTAAGGGAGACTATAGAAAAACTTAAAGCAAAATCAGAAATATCGAAAAAGTATAAAGATCCTTACTTAGAAGACTTGGTTTTCAATAATTCAGTTAAAGAAAATCGTACTTCTTCTCCAACAACTGATTATGTGGACAGTAAAAAGAAAAAATTGTCAGATAATAAAAGAAAAGAGAAGAAAGATAAAGCCAATAAGGTTTCCAAAAGAAGCTTCGATTTGGAAGATGGCAATAGTACCGCTGATAGTTTCCAGTCAGAGAGTAAGAATAAAAAGGCTTTTCCAAAAAGTGTAAACTCAAACACTACGAAAAACGCTACAATTGAAGCCCTTACTCTTGCGACCGAGCAAACATTGAAAGATATTAACAAGTGGCTTGACGATACCCCTAGATTATCAGAATTTAGTTCCGCAAGTAACTCGCCAACACATTACTTAGCCAACGACGAATTCGAAAGCATAGGTTTAAAAATCGAACAGGATTCACAAAAGAAAGTCGAAAAGCCTCTACAAAAAAAAGACGGTATCAATAAAGATTCTAAGAAAAGGTCGTTTAGTCGTGATCCGACTAAATTTCTTAAAAAACGGGAAATACAGCGAACAATAGATCGATTGCAACCTGGGAAAAGTAAAGGTAATTTACTTTCCAATGTACAAAACACTAACAAAACAGATGAAGTGTTTCCTCTAGGCCCAATATCGAAAAACAAAGACCTTAAAAATTCACTCATTGTTAAAACTGATGAGAACGCACCCAAATTAAGTTTAGGCTCTGTACTAGACAGTTTTGGTAAACATAAATTCGTTGATGATCTAAAAAAGGAAGAGGAATCGTCTGAACAAAAAGGTGAAGAATCACTACAAATATCGAATGATAAGCAGGAAGATATAAAAGAGAAAGAAGCAAAAACAGAAAAAGTAGATACCGAAAAAGCGCCAGACCCTCTTTTACCACAGAAACAAGTTAGTCCTGGAAAAGCCACACCTAATCTCAGTGCTTGGTTCAAGGCATTTGGAGCTCCCAAAGTCCAGCCAGTTCAAAAAAAATTAGATGGAAAATTGGACAGCAAAGACGATAAAACTGAAGAACCTAAACTGACCCACAAAGATGAACAAAGAAAAGTTTTACCACCGGAGTCTTCGCCTAATTCCGAAGCTCAAGGTCCGGCCTTACACGGAATGCCTATGCCAAGACAAAGAAAAGCGAGTACTGGAAGTAGCGTGTCTGAAAGATCGTCTTTTAGCCAAGATATGGATTCTCCCCGTGTGGGTATAGATGAAAGAATAGGCGCTTATCCGGCACCTTATCCTTCGCCATTACATAAGTCGCCTTCTGGAGCTTCTCCTGTAATGCCATCACCTAGACCTGACGTTTCTCCTAAATCAGCGGCTTATCCAACATTAAACGGGCAAATAAGAGTAGGATTTTATCAAGACACTGTATCAACTAAAAGCAGCCCAGAAAATCCTCAATCGCCTTATTTTTCAGAGCATATTTATACACCAGCGTCTATGCAAAATGTGCCGCCTAATTATTCGTATAATAATTCCCCGTATTATCCACCAAATTATTCTAATTCGAATCCAACACCCCCGTATAACTCTGATGGTAATAATGTAACTTATTACGATACGAATAAACCTTTAACAGATCAGTACCAAGCAAAAACGACAGCTGGTTATCATCAACCTCTCAACTCGCCTAATTATCAGCCTTCATCAAATTCGCCGAATTATTCGTCAAACCCTCCAAATCTTCAAAAAAATTCTCCCCATTATTCTCCGCATTCTCCCAGTTGCAATTCAGTCCATTCTCCAAATTTAAGTTCGGGAGCAAATTCGCCTTTAAACTCCCCAAACTATCAACCTTCCTCAAATTCTCCACTCAATTCGCCAAATTATGCACCGTTATCTAATTCGCCTGTCAATTCTCCAAACTATCCTCCCCCGAATTCACCTGGCTTTAATTCAGCAAATTCCCCTAACTATCCCGCAGTAAATTCTCCTCATTCTCCAGCTAACTCATCCAACTTTCAATCTGCGAACTCTCCAGGTTATCAAACTAATAATTCACCAAGTTGCCAACCTGTTAATTCTCCTGGTTATCAAGCAACAAATTCTCCCGGTTACCAAGCTTCTAACTCGATAGCTTCTCCACATTACCAAGCGGCAAATTCCCCTAATTATCCAGCACCAAATTCGCCTAATTATACGATGTCAAATTCTCCTGGGTATCAACAGGTCGGATCAACAAATTATCAAAACACAAACAAAAATGCAAGCTTCTCTTCTACGAGTGGCTTTCAGCGAATAAATACTCCGGACTCACCCACTTTTAAACCACCAACTCCTACAGGATTTCGAGAACCAAATTCACCTCTTGTTCCTCCTACTTCACCATACCCTGTTCATCAAGAGTTTGATGATTTTCAACAAAATAAACAACCTCATAGTAACATATTTCCTGTCAAAAAACGAGCCTTCAATGACATCAATAGTGTTCCTCAACATCAAGAGACGAGTTTACCAGTGCAACAGCAGAATATTTTTTCAAACAGAAATTTCGATACGAATGTGATAGCCAATCAACAAATTAATAACGAAATAGTTAATCAGTTACAACATTCTAACCAAAACACGCTTCAAAGTTCATCTCAAATGAAAACAACAACTGCGAATCAGTTCCATCAGAATCATGAAATGATACAAGCAAAAAATGTTATGTCTTCTAGTTTACAATCTAATAGTGCCTTGAAAGAAACGGTACTGGACCCGGAAGCCAAACGTAACGTAAATTTCGGAAGTCTTACTAACTTGTATGGCCCTGGGTCAAGTTATCCACTTAATATTCCTTCCGCCAGACCACTTGATCTTAATGCTCGACCAGAATCAAAAACTGTTTCAATGCAAGGCGTAAAAACCGATCCTTCTGGACATTATGTTGACCAATTGAACTCTTATGGAATGCCTGGTAATTTGCAGCAGTCTATAATGGGACAGCCTAGACTAGGATCAGAAGGTTTAGGAAATCGCTTAAATAGTGCAACAGGCAATTATAAACCAACAGAATTATCGAATCCTTATAAAAATCCGGACACTTCTCGAACTACTTTCAATACACCGACGTCTTTGAGTGCAATGGAGCAGTCACTCAGTTTTCAAAGAAACTTGGCAACCTTATCACATATCGTAGATCGATTCCAATCGGGAGAACGGTTGCTACAAGGACTACAGTCCACTGCATCTTATTACTCCGACAAAAATTTAGTGTCTCACGTTTACACCAAACCGATGACAACAACGTCTGCAAGTCTACAACAAATGTTCAGTCAATCGGTCAACCAGTATTCGGGACAAGACGTGCAAAACTCTATGTTCAATAGGGCAATGGAATTGCACAATTCCACCAATCAACCGCAACAACAGGTGCAGCAACAACCGCAGCCTGTTACTCCTCAGGTGCAAGAGAAAAAATCGAAACGTAAAAAGTCAGCAAAAGCGGCTGCATCTGCTCCTCCTCCTATTACAGAAGCTTCGACGCCTACTAATGCTACCCAGGGCTTCCAATCGTATACGGGACTAAAAAATGTGGATCCAAGTGCGATTTCGTTAAAAGCGTCCAGTGTTGTGCCGGGCAGTGCTTTTAATTTCGGTCCGGCGGCTGCCGCGGCCTCTAGTCTCGGGTTAAGTTCGGGCTTATATGGCGAAAAGGACGCTTATTCGAACTTTCTTGAAGAGTACCGAACAACACCGAACTATTACATGGCCGCTGCTGCGGCAGCTCACCATCGATCTACGCCGGAAGCTGTCGAAAAACAGGCGCGAACCGCCCACCAGCAGCCAGTTACAGCAGCGTCTACACCTAGTTATCCGTTTATTGGAGCACCTCAACCACGTCCACCTAGTTATCCATTTATGACGCCTCATCAGGCTTCTACATTAATGGATCCAAGTTCTCCATTATACCAACAGTATTTGCAGGCAGGTGTATTGCATCAGGGATTGCTAGGGGCTCATGGGGCATATCCAGCAGGCTATCATCCTGCTTTAGGTATGAGACAACCTTTCGATTCCATGACTAGACCGCCATGGCTTTAACTGTGAATTGATAGTGTAATTTGATAAGTTTCGCCTCCAAAATTAGCTTCTGGTTTACATTTTCTTCATATCGAATTCGCCACTAACTTTTATCTTGAATATTTCTTTTTGAATTATGATCTCATGTTTACATTTCATGTTTCATATTTATAAATACCTCTATATAGTGGTGAGTTTTATCAATACGTTACTTATTGTTGTGTAATTATTATTACCAAAGATTGGATGGTTTGAATATTATCTTTTTAGCTTACATATTATGTAAATGTATGTATAAGTGTGTGTACATATTATTTGATTATTTGTAAAATTATTATTTGTTATATACTTTAACGCATACGTACCTAATATTAAGTTTTAATTATTATTATTATTATTATAATTATATGGTTTGCTGATGCTCTCGATTTTTGTGCAATTTTCTTCAACTTTTTCTTTTGCTGCTATCATAAACTTCTGTTGATGTTTTTTAGAAAGTCTTTTTTTATTATTATACGAGCTATGTAATATTAAAACTACATACATTGTTTTTATTAAAGTATATAGAGGTCATGGATTAGATGTCATAATTTTCAGCAGTAACCCATTTTAATTTTAATTTCTTTTATTCTATTGATACGTTTATTATAGTTGCGGAATTGCATGCACAACCATGTTAAAAAGTACTTAATTTTTGAAAAGGCTAAGGCTTCCACGGCCGGCGTATCTAAAGAGGGCTCCATATTTAGGCGTTATGGTCGTAGTCCAGAAATAGTTCTCTTTCATTTCTCTAGTTGCCATGTTAGCATTATTAGGGAATATAGATAAGGCGTACAAACATTCGCTGCGATTGTGCTGACTAACGACGACCATCAAGCTCGAATATCGAACCCTCTACCTTACTTAATTTTTATTTTGAATTTGTTGTATTTGATTTATGGACTAAAAAAGGCGATTTTTCGTAAAACGAATCTCTCCAACATTCCTGTCTTTCTGAAATCGGCTTTTTTAAAGTGCAGGGTGTTGGAAAAATGTATAAGTATTTGATATAGTTTCTGCAAAATTTTAAAACTTGTTATACCTATACCCTATAATTTTTATCTAAAAATTAAAAAACAAAATAACGTGTAATCTAATTATATACTTTGAAAATACATTTTCAAAACACCCTGAATACCTTTTCACTGAATTATGTGTTGCAGATTATTAGCTTTGTATAAAGTTAATACGTTTAAGTGGCAATTTCATCTTTATTCTTTATTTATTAAGTAAAAGAAGGGGGTTTAAGTCATTGTTAATGTAATTAAAGAAGACCTAATTCATTTTGGAAACAAAAATTGTTGGACAACATATTTGCATTTATTTGACACATCCAATGTATCATTTATAAAAAATGGCTGTGATTTACTTACTGTTGTAGGTAACTGTTTATTAAAACTAAATTTTATTTAAGAAACTTGCCTTTATATGGGAAAAAATATCAATTTCTTAAACAATTCTAAATTGTAGGAAATGTATGCTTCAAACTTCAACTGGGTTATTTCATAAGCTTTTTTGTGTGTAGTTTTTTTTTTTTTTTCAAATTAAGTATGTTTCTGTTCTAGTGATTTATCCTATATACTATTTGATACTGGATGTATTATTACTTAAAATAGTTCAATAACAAATGAAGTTGGTCTTCTAAAAAAATCACCTTTCTACTGCATATTTTTCTTTTTCATAGATGCCCGACTAAAAATGAGCGACAATAGCAATGGCATGATAAAAATTAAGACACAATTGCCTGAAAGGTTTCAATTAGTTCAGGTCTTGTAAAACACCACATGCGTAGTATTTAGAATTTTTTACTACTGCAAATATATAGATTTAGGAAACTGATTTCAGGCAAAAGTGTTCTAGAAATTGAGTTTTCCAAGTAAAATAAGTGAAAAGTGTTAATCATTGTCTCGCAAGCTTTAATGAAATTTTATTGTACAAAATTTAAATATCAGATTGAAATGTAAATATCAAATTGTATATCGAAATATAATTATTATTAAATATGTATGATTGCAAATTGAGAATAAATATTTAGCAATTTGTATTAAGCCTTTCTTTTATTAATCACTGTGATTTATTCATTAATGATACTTAAGATATTCTCCAAAATTAAACATGCATAAGGAATTCAAAAATGAATTATAGTTTTAAGTCCAGAAATTGTATATTTATTGGTCTATCTGGAATTCTGTTCATACGATATATCATACCAATTTCTGGACTTTCGAGGGAAGTAATTTCAAAATTAAGTAGAACCTGAAATTTTACCTAGGGTTTTATCAATTTTTTTTATTCGATTGTTACTTACGTTCTTTAATAAAGTAATCATTTCTTGCTCAGCCAGTCGTCTTCCGGGACACATCCTGGGTCCATATCCGAAAGGGAGGGAAGCAAATGGATGAATATTTCGTCTATGATCCCTAAGCCACCTTTCAGGTACGTAGGACTTCGGATTATCGAAATACTTTGCATCAGTCGAAGTTATTGACGAAAACGCTGTTACTAACGTCTAAAACCATTAATAAATTTACTACAAAATTAGTATTTTATCAACGGAATTAATTTCATAAATTAGTTACAAAATAAGTACCTACATTTACTACTGTTATATTTATGTAGAAGAAATGTATCAGACATTTATGAAGAGAAATCACGTTATAGCTCAATAAAATAAAGAAGCACAAAGAAAGCTAGGTCACTGTTTTTATATTCTTCAATGGTTGGAATTATTCATAATGGGGATAAGAAGGTATGAACTGAGATGTACAAAAACTTTATGAGATTTGCAAATCATATTTCTGGCGAACAATTTAGTACGGTTTAAAAGAACAATAAAACGAAAAGGAACCGTGTTGAAATGCCATACATACAACTAATTTTCTCTAAAATTCCTGTCTATATTTTAATATAAATAAACCGTACTGGTGATGACTAATTAACCCGGGTTAACGAAACAATTTACTCAAATTGCTCCTACAAAAACTAAAGCAATTAAGACAAATAATTTTAGGAATAATTGTGAGTTACCTGTATTGGTAACTATATAGTGTACCTACCCCAGAAGGTACCTCAAATCCCTCAATTACAGTATCATTGGCCAAAAATCTACTATTAGCTCCAGCTGTAGGTTTCAGTCTTAATGTTTCCTTTAAACAAGCTTTCAAATATTTATATTCTTGTTGAGACTGTAAAACTTCTTCTCTTGCTCTAGATTGTGCTTTTTTATTGTGGGCCAAATAATGCAAAGTTAAAGCAAGGGTTGCAGAGGTAGCATCAAGCCCTCCCAAAAATATCTCGAGGGCTACCATTATTATATCATTCCAATTCATAGCTTTGTTGTTTAATAACGAATACATGAAAGGATTCTGCTTCAGAAGAGTTTCAGGATCTTTCTGCTGTTGGTGTTTCATGTCTTCGAGAGTATCCTTTATTACTCTAAAGATTTTTAAGAAAGGGGCATTTTAGTAGATACGCCAAACATTGTTTAGCAGATAAGTAAATAAATAAATTGTTATCGATTAGTTAGATAATAAGACTAAAAACGGGAAGCATTTTGCAATGAATAAAACGAAGCATATTATAATACGTTGCCAACCAAACCCGATTTCGGTTTTGTCTAAATGAGATCCTAGTTTGTCTGAAGAGTGACAGGATAAACTCCAAACTTTTGTCTAGGCCAAAATCAAATAAGGGTAACAATAACCTACCCTTCAAGGGATGCGTAACGTTAAAAGGAAAGGAGAAATTATTAAATAATTGAGTTATGGTTAGTTGATGCCTGATGCCTGATGGCTGAAACATTTCAGAATAAACTAGTTTGGACTATGATAAACTAGTTTGGTCTTAAAAGTATCTCTTGTAGAACTTTTTGACTAACGTATTCGAAGCAAATGGAGGCTTAAAATAAATCTAATGTATTGTCTTTCGTGTTCATATAATGGCCCCATTGAATTTGTAAAGGTAATCCAATTTGTTATTCAAATCACTTTCAAGTGCAACATTACAATGCAGAGCGCATCAGAAATATATCACGAAGTCATGAGAGGCACACTTACCCGTATATTGTTTCGTGAGAGAACTCTAACTGTTTGTAAGCATTGGTTTTGTACAGTTTCCAAATAGGAGGCCCTATAAATGTTTTGTATAATCCGTCCATGAATCCAATGCTGGCTTTTATTATTTGTTCTGTTTCTACTGTGTTTTCAAGTAGACAGTGAAATCGTTTTCCGGGTGAAGTAATTGAAATTGCTAAAAGAAGACTCGGTTAACATTTTTCTTAATTATTTTAGTGGATTGAAGCCTCTTATCAATAATTTCTTATAAACTAATTCACCTTCAATTGAAAATTTCAGCAAGTGTTTATACAAGTCTTCCATTGTTCTGTTTTCTGTTCGATGTTTCTTAATATAATCTACAAAAGTCGAAGCTATAGCGTCGTGTTTAGCTTGATAAGATTGTACCAAATTTTTCTTCAAAAGCGGCAAGACATAACTTCTAAATCGGTACCACTCTTTACCATTTCCGGGTACTATTCCAATACTATTGAAGGCCTCTTTCCTGAAATAAAAGTTATTTATGGAATATAGAGAAACTCATTATGCGCCTAATTACTTTTTATTTACATTGTTTTAATTATGTTCAATAATGGTTTGTAACCAACCTGTAATGTAACAATGCGGGAAATGGTGGACGAGAAGGTAATTTACCCTCATTTCTAAATAAAATTTCCGTATGATCTGCGTCAGTTGTAATAACCATATCAGTTCCACCTAATCTGAGCCTAAATATGGGTCCTAGTATCTCTTTTAAATCCTCGACAGCTTCAGACAGCCTCTCCGACTTATATTTTCCTAAATTTCCCTTTTTTAATAATCTCATACATTCAGGATTCAGAAAATTATACACATAGTTAAGAAATAAAGATGACAGAAATACCAGAAATGGTATTTGCAGTTAAAAGATGGTATTTATTTTAATGAAATTCTAAATTAATTATAATAAATGCCAGTCTGTACCTCCAGGAAGAAACAAATACGCGTGTCCAATAATCGGCCATGTTGGTAAAGTTGGTAATTCTTTAAAAGATTTTATGGAAGAAATACATTTGGTAGTCATATCTACGATTACAATTAATTACCATGTGCTCTCTATTAAATTCGTCCAAGAAGTTTTTTACAATTTGATTTGAGACATCTGCAAAAGTCAGTTTAGGTTTTATTATTTGTTAAATGAAAACTTTTATAGTTTTAATTTAAGTCAAATAATAGTATTTACTTAAATACTTCTCCAAAAAATTGTAAGTACTATAAAGGACACCGTTAGATCCTTACGGAAAATGGCCCTCTTTGAAACATTGGATTCTGGTAGCTCTCACCGTGTAGATCAAAAGTTTCAATGGGCCTAAGTTGTAAAAACTAATCTTTGACGTCACTGACGACCTTACGATGATGATGATTTATATTAATGCAATATTAGAATTCAAAATATCAAAGAGTTTAACAGAGGGCCATTTTCCTTAAGGATAAAGCGGGGTCCTTCCCATCTGCATGTATAATAAAATCAATTTTATACATCAGTATTTCCAAGCTAATGAAAAGATATTGTAATGAGGAAGTGGACAGTATACTTTGGAAGCATTTATGTAACATTTAGGCATCGGTAGAGTCTAATGCAAATAAAAAAGTTAACTAAATAATGTGTAGTTAAATCCTTTTTCAGGAACTGGACTAAGTTCTCTATAGTCCCTAAAGAAGGTAACTTTGTTACTGAAATTTCTTCGGACGCTTATAGTGTCGTGTTTTGGTGTTGGGGTTTGATCCATTCATACATATAATATGTCTCCTACTGTATCGCCAAAGTTTTTTGACAACGGAAAAAGTTTGAAAAAATTCCTTCAAAATAAATTATAATTTAATCAGCTTAATATTGATTATTTTATAATCGGATAATTTGTGCGTTACTAATACAAATTGTTGTCGCCGAAAGTGGTCCAATAAATGTATAGCTATCCAGCAGGTGGACTTGGCACTCACCTACCACTTCCTGCGGAAAGTAAAACAAACGTTTTCACGATCAAATAGTATTCCGAATTAGCTCAATTAGATCAACTATGTTCGCGGTTTCATTCGTTCCTTCCGTTTGGAAAGTGTCCAGCAGCGCAACAATAAATAATTATTGTACTTACACACATAAAAATATACCATGTAAATATATACACATGTACTCATTCGCACGTGGTGTTGTTTGTTGGTAAAACTTGGTTCGACTGGTGGAGGTAACTTTCTAAACTTTTGCTTCGCGTTTATCGGCTTCAGCGGCTAAGACAGTCACTTGCTCGCAGCGACGGTACTCAGTGCGCAGTGTTACTTAAGGCTCGGTTTTGTTCGGAACTCGCGAGTATTTTGCACGTGTCGCGAATGCCCTTAAGCCTCTAATCGAATGAACGCGAATGCTATGCAAATCTTGGTGGTGACCATTGTTACACAAACGGCGGTGATTTAATTTTTTTCTTCTTTTTATTGAATAAAACATACTATGTAAAGTAAGCAGAAGAACGGCACCTCATTATTAATAGTGAGTGGTGGTGTTTTTTAAATTTAACTTGGAGTAGCAACAACCTATAACTTATTTACGGAATTTTAGAAGACGTAAGTGTGTTTAGATAAATTTAAAATACTAATATTTGATTAATAAGATGTGGACTAAGGATATTTGCACATAAAAATTGATTTAGTGCGATAAAAACGGTTTTTATAGCCAAGTAGAAACAATTGGTTCACATTTGAATTAAATGTGTAGGCACTTTATTAAAACTGCACTAGTTTAAACACTTCCGCATTCACGTGTCTACATATGCGTATCCTTCGTAAAAAATATTTATTTATTATCTGTTATTTTAATACTATTTCATAATGTAAATGAATTTTTATAACTTTTACAACAAGATTTGATACTTGTTGTTTTCGTATTAAAAAGCAATTTGTAATGTGCTCCTATGTTCTATTGGATATCTTTCTTGATAAAATATAAGGTTTTAAAAAATTTAGAAGCAAATTATAAAAATACTTTAGACAAGTTAATTTGAATGCTGTTTATACAAATTAATGTAAATAAATTAAAAAAGCATTTGTCTCTTAATTGGGTGACTACGTCCTACTTGTAGCTCTATCCGGCTAAATCGACGATAAATAACAGTGTAGTTTTGAACGAAGCAAACAAAAATGTGGCTTTATATGCGTAGTTTTGTCTCTTGTGTTTAATCCAAAAATAAATTAGTATCTAGCAATTTTTGCGCAATTTATATTTAAAATTATTCATATAAAACGAATTATCCTAGAACATGCAAATAAACTTTACATTAAAGTAAATATACTATTAGTTGTAAGTAAAAACCGAAGAAATTCTTTATTAGATTTGAACAAAGTCTAACTACATATTTTTCAAAATGTAATGTTGCCCTTTGATGTCTTCATATACCTAATAGATAATTCCTCACTGGAAATCATTTAAACGCTGCTGCGCGTCCTGATAAGAAAACAATTAACAAGTCCTTTCGTACTTTTATAGCCTACATAAATGTCTTTGTACTCATGGTGGGTTGTTAACGCAAATCTTTGCTATTTATGACCTAATAAAATACCTAACTGCTTCAGCAGGTCTTTCACTGGTCGCATAAATTTTCAGTAAAAACATTACCCAAAAATAAAACGCTGCTGTTCATTGGACTGCAAATCAATATTAACAAGACAAAGTTATCGTTTTCTTTAGTTACATTGTTGAAATAGATAACGCGACAGATAAGTTTTATGCGACATAAAAATGCTAGTTTGTACGATACTGATACTAATCACAATTTTTAAAAATTTTCGCAAGAGCGCCTGCTTTGGGTATATTATTACACGAATGGACGCAGCACTGATAGTGACTGCAACAAATGCAATTTTGTCGAATTTAGAAGGGTGTTTTTGAAATAAGTAGCAAGCTTGCAGGAGGTGATAAGAAACTATAAAATAAGAAAATTCAGGAAATGTTTAGTAGTGCGAAAGTCTACTGTTTTCGAGAAAAACGTATTTGAAAGTAGTTAAAAGCCAATCTGGCCCTGGCAGGATCACGCAGGGAAATACAACATTGCAACGCCGCATTCAATCAGCTGCAGCATCCGTATGGTTCGAGTATTTGTTTTGTATTTGTGTTCTTAAAACTTAATTAGTTATTCCACAACCGTCTTGTTTACATTTTTCATCGATGTAGTTGCTTAATTGTTATTGCAATTTCTCTATACTTTGTCAATTCACGCTCAGGGCCGGCTTCAAATGTAATTTTGTCGAATTTAAAAGGGTGTTTTTGAAATAAGTAGCAAGCTTGCAGGAGGTGATAGGAAACTATAAAACAGGAAAATTCAGGAAATGTTTAGTAGTGCGAATGTCTACTGTTTTCGAGAAAAACGTATTTGGAAGTAGTTAAAAGCCAATCCTGCCCTGGTAGGATCACGCAGGGAAATACGACATTGCAACGCCGCATTCAATCAGCTGCAGCATCCGTATGGTTCGAGTATTTTTTTTGTATTTGTGTTCTTAAAACTTAGTTAGTTGTTCCACAACCGTCTTTTTACATTTTTCATCCATGTAGTTGCTTAATTGTTATCGCAATTTCTCTATACTTTGTCAATTCACGCCCAGGGCCGGCTTCGGATTGCAACTCCGTCTGGTTTTCTTACAAATTTTCATGCTGCTTTACTCGTCATGCGATTCCCTATTGCATGTAGTCAACACCCTCTAAAGCTTGCTAATTATTTCAGAAACACGCTGTATAAAAGCATTTGTGTTGGTGATATTTACACAAAGACAGTTTAACTTTCTGGTAATTAAAACATTAAGAGGGTTTAAAACTATAATTGAGTATTCTCAAACGTTACTAATTTATTATAAGACAGCTAGAACATTATTATAACGGACAAATTAAAATGTTTTCGCTTATTTGCATACAATCTAATCATACTTATATCTACAATAGTGTAACACGATTATAGAATAATTCAAAAAATGGATAACCCTAAAGAAATACTTTTTAAAGAAAAGCCTGGCCTTCTATTTTACAGTGAATGTAGTCGAGCAGCTTGAATGCTTACTCACTACTTAAAATGCTTAATTGATAACAATTCCACAGTTACGTTTACAAGTTTTATTGAAAAATCAATTAGAAAACAAATGAAAACCACATTCTATGCACACGTAATACCTACTTCCGTTCTCAATAACGTTAGTTCATGGCAAATGTGAATGAAATGAAATGAAATCAAACTTTCCTTGATCGACAAAATGAGGTAACGTGAAGACTTACTTATTATTTTTGATTTTATTAGTAAGTCATATTCTGAGTTTTACGATATTAAAAGAACAACGAAAAGAAGTAATTCAATTGTGGTAATATTATTGAAATATTTACTTCACGGCACGAACGGTTCGTATCTGTTCTTTCGTAAGGGGCAAACAAATGGGAACGTATGTAATGCAGCATACAAAGTTAGTTGTGACTTACGTTCACCCTATTTGATTATTTTCTCTGTTACGAGTGAGCTGAATGTGTTTTTGACATTACTTACTTGATTAGTTAGCGTAGATTATGTAAACGACGTAAACAATATTACAGCAATTTGTCTGTATCTATAAATTTTATTTAAATTGGCACCGTGCTCGCAAACAGAGGGTGGTTTTTTATTAATTTGCTTGTGATGGCCACAAATATTACCTACTTATAATACAGTTTCCATATATTTCAAGCTTTTTTCTATGAATCTATCTAAGAACTAAAAAATCTTATATAACTAATTGTCCTCGTTTGCATTATCTAGCCGTGGGTTTTAAGACGTGATCATTATGGATCATTCAATCATTCCATTACTTTCACAACATTCATTGCTTATAAGTTATACCATTAATAATTGCCCACGTATTTCCTGCAAACTGTCTTTAGAAGTTGAACTTCGATAAAAAGGTAATTTACAAGTTGCTTTATAAGTGCGGCCACGTCTGGACATCGCCTTTAGATAGGTCTGTTCATCTCTAATTAGTTACGTAGGAGTTCCCGTTAATATTGGGCAGACTGGAGAACAGTAATTAATCATCACATTAAATAACCATTTTCTTTTTTTTTCTTGTAATCTGCATTTACTGTTGTGATGCACAAAATATGTGGCCGATGTCGTTAATCCTCGTGTTGCATCACGCAAAAACTATTGGCTAGATTTTGAGTAACTCTTTAGACGGTCAGTCTTTATCTCCAATAAAAATTATCACGATATTCCCGTTTAATATTAAGCTATTAAAGTTTTCATCGATCCTCAACCATCGCAATTACGCGTGTTCTATTGTCACTGTGGAGGACAAGAGACGAGGTGCTTGTGCGAGGGAAGAGGAAGAAGTTTCTACTTCTACCTCAACGTAAAGTACACGCCTGCTGCGTATATGATGCTCTGCATAACCACATTTTGAATCGATTTTTGGACGGGGCTTGATTATTTGGTTTGAAGGCATTACACATTTTTATTCACATTCGCAAAAATACAACTCTTTATTAATCTCTTGTAAATTTATTACAAATTTCTTAAGTTTAGCAATGTCATGCTTAATTTCGTTTAATTTTCGTAATTATCTGAACAACTTTAATGGTAGTTCATATTATATTTATTACAGCGTGAAATTGCTAATACTTAATTTGGTTTTACCGCCAATATTACCTTAACAGTATAAGTTACGTAGTCATATGAAAGAGAGAGACAACTAAAGAATGAGCGATTAATTTTTCTAGTTTAAGTAAAAAGGCAGTCGTCCTTTGAAATGTTGCTATGATATAGATTCCGTTGACCCCAAGGAAAGGTCTCGGTTGCGACTACATGGTCGCTAAAACGTCACCAACATAGGTCCCCAAGGACGTCAACGTCGTTCCTTGCGATCAGATGGTGTGGAAGACAACCAGCAAGCTCAAGCATACGCATACGCATACTTAACAAGATGTTTATAAGGAGCTCGTCTCATATTAACTTTACAAGTAAAATCTGTATTTGCCAAGACTGGGTTCTGTCTACTCTTATTGTCGTAACGAACTTCTGGCATGCTAAAAAAGTAAAATGAAGACAATGTGGTACTTAAAAGAAGAATTGTCTACACAAAGACATTAAAAACATAACGAATTGTTTTTTATTTTTCTGGGAATTACAGAACGAATTTGAAGGAATTTATAAGAAAACACTTTTTAAGAATATGATTTTCTACAAGATTGTCTGAGGATGGAATATTCTAGATGGGTACTTTATGATTTTCTTTTAATCTATTGTACAAGAAATATGGAAAAATTCGTTCTGTAAAGATATAAATAATTGTTAAAATTCATAGAAATTAAACTACAAATCAATAAAATATAAGTAAATTGGTAATAAGTACTTTATTAATTAATATAAATAAAATTGAAGTGTCTGCCTATAATATTGAAACAACTTCTGTAAAAATTATTCCAAAGTGAATTTACTTAGTTTAACATTATATCATTATACTTTTGTGTGAACAAGTAAGAAACTAAAACAAATTAAGTGTCTGAAAAGAAAATATATATTAGAAATATTCAGTCTGAAGTAATTTTACTACCATTTGAATAATCTCTATCGCTAACGAGTGTTTAAGAGACCTGCATTATCAAGGAGTCGAAAATTACAATATTTCTGAAGATTCATTTAATTTATTTATGCACAACGAGCGCACATGGACGATATAGGTACTACATGCAAAATAGATAAATCATTTAACGGATAAGGATTACTGAAGTTCTTCAGAATATCAATCGACAGGCTGAATTATCAATGAACAGAATATTCTATCAGGTTTTCAAGAAATCGTTGCTTTTGAATACTAATCATTTTTATGTAAAAGAAAAGGTTGAATATCTAAGAGAAAGAGAGAGGCAGGAAGTAACTGATAGTCTTATGGAATTAAAAATGTGTTTTATTCGGTAAATAAAAAAGTGTGAACTATTATTTTTTTATTTTCATTTGTTTCTCTTCTTTATATGTTAATGTAGGAATATAAGTGAAGATGGGGGACAAGATGAAATTATTTAACAAACATCAACTTACTTCTATGCTCGCGAACGGTTAATTTAGAAATTCGAAGGTTGTTAAAGGTGCATGTTTGGAGCACGGCATTGTACGGGTGCGAAACCTGGACAGTGGGCGCAGCGGAAAAGAAAAGGTTAGAAGCGTTCGTAATGTGGTGGTATAGGCGGATGATGAGGATATCGTGGGTAGAAATGGTTAGAAATGAAGAGGTATCGGAAAGAATAGGAAAACAGAGGACTCTATGGAAGTCAATTAAAAATAGGCGAGATAGGTTGGTAGGACACCTTCTTAGGCATGAAGGTCTAGTCAGAGACATATTAGAGGCAGAAACAGGAGTTAAGAGGGGTAGAGGTAGACCTAGATTAGATTACTGTTCGCAAATAGTTAAGGATGTGGACTGTTCTAATTTTAGGGAAATGCGAAGTTTAGCTCAGGATAGGAAAGAGTGGAGGTACGTGTCCAACCAGTCTTAGGACTGACGACCTTATGATGATGATGATATCTTTTGAGGCAGAAAAATGAAATTTTATTAGTTTGTGCAAAATCCAATGCTTAATAGTACGTTTACTTTTTAAATTCGTGATGCATAACTTATTTAGAATTTTATTTTATTGTCGCATTTATTTTATGATTGTCACTTCAGTCTAATTGAATTAATTAATTTTGTGTGACATGTACGTACTTATTCTGTATACCTACCTAAGTGAGAAGGAAACTCTATATAGACTAGACATTTAATTTAATTAAATAATCATTCATCTGTTTTTATTTTCCGCGTAAAATGCAGATTTTTTAAACAACGTCACAAGAATGCAAGGCCAATCAAGCAACTTACCTTGCATACAAATATTAACTCGATTTGTCGCTACATGTTATATATTACAAATAGATGTAAATGAAATACCATGTGCGGAAAATTAAGAGTTTTGGTTAAATAAAAGCCATAAATAATATTAGAGACTTAGATTTTTACAAATAAAACTTTTAATGATCAGAAAACGAAACGTGTTCCAATACTCTCTGCATCTTTTATATTGAACGTATCATACATAGAGGTAAGGTAAATAGTGCAGCGATCTCCTCTGTTGATACAATTTTCTGGAACCAGCTGTCTATTAAAACAATTAATTAAAGAAAGAAAGAAATATCAGGCGTAGTTTGACAAATTGTAATTTTATTAAAAAAAAAATTAATTTTTAAGATTAAATAAGTACAAGGGAAGATTAAGATTAAGTTTTGTATGATTAAAAGTGATAAACCAGATTGTGACGTCGTAACGCACTATGTAGATCAAGTATTAACATTCACTTTATTGTAAATTGCTTCGTATTAAATCATTCATTTTTACTGTAAGTATACATACATGAATATGTATTTGCAATTAAGTACCATTTGCAATATAAGTAGCTTATAGCACAGAACAGTTGGCACATACGAAATAACCAATTGAAACATCTTTTTTATTTGGATATCAGAATTTCGTAACACTTTAAACTAAAGCATTTAGTTACCTACATGTATTGCATACTATGTTTATAAAATCTTAGTTGGCCTAAAAAGTAACACTTAGCAAGTAGAGCACCAAAACATTTAGCCAATATTAACTAGCATATGGTGCAAATTTGCATTTAGTTTTGGCTGAATTTTGTCACAACTAATTATTCAACTATTATCTAAAATCGCACACAGGTTTCATATTAGTGAAAATTTATAATAAGGGAATCTAACCATTTCAAATGAGATATTTTTGTTACTTTTGGTTTTTATAATCATTTACCTCAATGTAAATTTATATCATTGTTTACTTCTCTTGCTTGTGAACTATTTATATATGTATATTTGTGTGTATTAATTGTCATTTATCAACTATCTATGTCGGTAGATATCATATGGTGATGGAAGTTTCTAAATATTTCCGGAAACGTTCCGAAAGTTTCTTTTATCGTGCAAGGTTTGACATGGCTTGTTCGCCTATGATTTATGACTCTAAAACTAATAAGTTTTTTACGGTAACATTGTTACTTTTGGTTTTTATAATGATTTATCTCAATGTAAATTTATATCATTGTTTATTTCTCTTGCTTGTGAACTATTTACATATGTATATTTGTGTGTATTAATTGTCATTTATCAACTATCTATGTCGGTAGATATCCTATGGTGATGGAAGTTTCTAAATATTTCCGGAAACGTTCCGAAAGTTTCTTTTATCGTGCAAGCTTTGACATGACTTGTTTGCCTATGATTTATGACTCTAAAACTAATAAGTTTCTTACGGTAAAATACAAAAAAAAATGTAGTAAACAAGAAACTATTTATGAAACACTTTGACATTTTTGATAGTAGTTAATAAGAAATATTAATATGAAAATTCAGTGGTCAGAACATTGGTGCGTAAAGCCAAAGGTCCCGGGTTCGATTCCCGGTGAGGATGTGACAAGAGCAACATATTTTCCTTCATAAGCCTGAGGTAGTTTATAGTGAATAAAACATTGAAAAATGAATTTTCATATTAAAGAAAGTGTTTGCTTGCATCGTACTCTGTAAAAATAAAAAAGTATTGGGTATTTTCTCGTCCTCAGTAACGTACCCCAAAAAATTTCTGCAAAATCCACTAAGATTAAGGGCTAATACAAAATATTTAGTTATTCACATTTAACAAAATCCTTTAATCTTTTCTTCAATCCTCAATATTCTATTGAGACGTATCTGTCCGAATCCAGAGATTTAGAATTAAAAATGGTTTTATATTATATAAGTCACACTGTATACCTACTGCATATATAAATATAATTTATGAGCAGATATAATACACTGAATTTTCTGATTCTTATGATTTTTTAGTTTTCGAAACTGAATAAACAATTATGTCGCGATATTGAAAAGCTTTACATAGAAATCCTGAAGAAATCTGCTGTAAAACATTAGTAGTTAATAAAAAATAATCCTAAAGTCTACATTGAAATTTTAAAATCATCTGGTCAACACGTTCAACATCCTTTCCGTACCAATCCTGATCACCATGCATCCAGTTATCTAAAATTACGTAAGATAAGGTTCACCGTGATGTAATCTACAACTGTCTCGATTCGTTTATGTGTGTACCGTGTATATGTATATGGTATTGTTCTTGTTTCGCACAGCCGAAGCTTTGGTTCAGAATTTTCGTTTCACAACAGTTCTTTTTTCTTGAGTCGCCAATGAGAAAAACACGACGACCTTCGTCCAAAGCGTAGACCATGAGAATTGAAATGGAGATAAAGAGTTATTAGCCGATGGCGAAACGTGTATATTCTTTACAGAAACAATAACAAGCAATCGAAAATTTGTGAGAAATAGTTTCGAAATTAAAAATTGGTAGATACATGACAAAGCAAGCCGTAAAGTTGTAATAAAAACAACAAAAGTGAGAACGTAAAGAAAACTCGTGCAACAATTTGTTGACAAATTTCTTTTTTAATTCTCTAGAAACGAATCAGTGGATTTTCACTAATTTTCAGTGAATAGTAACGATATTTAAATGATTTAGAATAGCTGGGGTCAAATTTACATGCATCAGTTGTGGACACTTCAATGTTAGATCAAGAAAGAAACCTAGAAAAACGCAGAAAATACTGTTGAAACTCGTATTATCTATTTATGTACCCTATATATTTTCCTGGTCATAGTTAAATGATTAAACAACATTGAAGTGTTGGTTTGTAACTTAACGAAATTACCAAATGTTGATCGCAATTTCGAACTTACACAGAAGTTGCTCCATCACTTCGTCGCTTCGTAAGTAAATGACAATATACGAGGGTGGATTGATAAGTTTCCGGCCTAACCAAGAGATGACACCACTAGGCCTACCTTGAGGTGACATTCTATAGTACCATCCTTGGATAGCTTGTAGCTATAGTTTCAGCCCGATCTCCTTGCTAGTGTAGGTTTGACAGCACGCTGAACAAGACGCCTCTGTGGTTTTCGTAAAAATGGAAAAGCAGGAAAATCGTGCTGTCATCAAATACTTTTATTTGAAGGGGTTAACGCCGAAGGAAATTAAAAAAGAGATGGACTCAAC